CCTTCATAACCACGAGGACTATAATTCTCTACTGATTGCCACCCTCCTCTCTGAGCCCGGGTTCCTGATGTATAATAATACTCACCCTCATCTTGTGGAAAATCATCTCTGTGATAAATATACCGTCTTCCTCCATCTGTCCTCCTCCTCTCCTCAGCTTCTTCATAACGTCTTTGACCTCGCCCTTGCCCCCTATGGCGAGCGTAATAATGACAACCTTCCTGTCGTTGTTCGTCTTCCCAAACATCCCCACGAGGTTGCTCATCATCTTCTTCTTGACGCCGACGTCCTCGTCTTGCGTCTCTGACATTTGCCTCATAAGCTTATTCTTATACCCTCCGGTTTACTCCACGTCTTTCCCCCTGATAATTTCTCCTCTCTAAAAGACTTATGGATATCTGAGATCCTTGCCCTCTTCGAACTTCTGTCCTCCTATGCCCAGTCTCGGGTGGAGGTGATAATGGAATATAATCAGGAAAGGGAGATACAAAACCTCTCCACCTATCCCAATCATGTAGCACGTTCCTCTCAGATAATGTCTCTTCTGAATGTTGCCTTCTTCCTCGTCCTTCTAGATGTTGCTGATTCCTTATTTCCTCCATTAACTGAATTAAAGCTTCTCCAATGGTATCTAATGATCGACTCCCTCCACTGGATCAGAAAGACTCCTCTTCCCTTCTGCTTTCTTCATTCTCCTCCACTCGCTCATCATGGTTGTTGCTTGCCATGACTCAAGAAAATGCGTAGGATTAGCTTTACCTTTCCCACAGACGGCGCCAAATGTTCTGAACGAACATTAATATGGATCTATATTCTGGTTATCTGCCTGTGTTATCTCTATCCTTGGTGTGTATATGGGGCTAGCTTCTGAACAGTTACCTTTATTATGGAAGTGGTGGGTACCATCGTGGCATCGTGGTAGGCCCACTTATAACTCCACTACTTGTAATACTGGCTGACTCAATCAACTGCTAACTCCCCTACGTGTAATACTCACTGACATGACTAACCGCCTATCCGGGTAAAGTATATCCGGGTTTCGTGTCCTTTACTCTTACGAGCAAGTATGGCTCAGTGTATGAACCCGGAACAACACCAAATCTTAACCGTTGATTCTGTGAATCTAAGTGTTATAATTTATTAAATCACACTTATTATATGAAAATAAAATAAACTAACTATTTCCAAACTAGATTGCATAAGTGGGGAATACTAAAGTCCATGCTAAATTTAGAGCTCCCAACCATACCATACATCCATGCATGTGAGAATAACCAATTAGCTACCATATTACCTTCCTCATAAATATGTGTAATATTTACAATTCATTCGTTATTGATCAAGTTCCTTATACTTTTGAGTAACGAAACATAAGGTCTTATTCTCGATAAATATGTGTAATATAGACAATCCACTCGTTATCAAGTTTTTCATACTTTGGAGTAATGGAACATGGGGTGTTATTCTTGATAAATACGTGTAATATGCATAATCCACTTATTATTGATCATGTTCCTCATACTTTGAAGGAAGGGATCAAGGGGAGTTATTTATACTTGTCGTGGAAGATGAGATCCTTCACAAGGATAAATTCTCCTTCCAACCATATTTTCCTTAAACTTTTCTTCTAGTCTAAATCAACATCAATTAGAAAACCTTTGCACAAAGGCAATTACATTATAAATTTTTGTTGGAGAAACTAATTAATCACACATCTTCTAGTGTAATCTACCAACACTTCCCCACATCTTACCGAGTTTCATTTTTAGCTACTGAAATATCAACAATTATTTGACCCACCCATCATTTGGAAATTGCCACTTGAAATATATTTTTAAGTTACTATAAAACAACGTTATAAAGATTTTTATTGTCGTTTATTTTCTTATGGATTCAATACTATCATTCGTATTAATAAAATATATTTAATTTGAATAAATTGAAAAAACATTTCAAAAACCGAATCCATGTACATAAAACCAATAATAATATAAAGAAAATTATATTTATATATAAGAGAAGGTTATACTTACAACCTATTTTCGTTTACAAACTCTTACAACCAATATCTTAACCGTTGATTTCCGTCAATCAACAGTTAAGATTTTCGCAAATAAAACTTATTAATTAATTATTAATTTACAATAAATGATAACCGTTGATTGACGAAAATCAACGGTTAAGATATGATTGTAAGATGTTATAAATAAAAATAGGTTGTAAGTATAACCTCCCCATATATATATATATATATTAAAAAATATTTATCTCAAAACCCTAAAATAACGTGATTTTAGAGTTTAGGGAAAAAAATACAAAATATTTTGAGTATTATACTTCTCTCTTGTGATATAAATATTTCTTAAAATATTTTGTATTTTTATTTTAAATTCCAAAACGTTAATATATTATATATTCTAATTTAACGTCCGTGATTGGCTTTCAAAACCTTTTTTTTTTTGGATAACAAAAAGAAAAGAAAAGATAACAATATTATATTTAGAAAAAAGATAAAATTTAAAAATATTATTTTATTAGTTTTCTGAAATAACAATAAAAAGGTAACGTGTAAATTTATTTTTTATATATAATATGTTGAAAAGTTTTTTGGTTTGGTAGATATTGTTGACTGAAAAGCTTGTGATACAATAATTTGTTTTTTCTTGGGAAAAAGTAACGTCAACCAATCCACCATAATTTGAAGAGGATTCTTTTTCTTTCACATTAAAAAAATGGCATTTCACATAAAAAGGATGGTCGTCGTTGTTGTTAAAATTTTAATTTATCATTACAATTTTATGTTTTTATGATTTTTTTTATCAAAATAATTTTATTAATATTTCAAATATTTTTACGTTTTTATAATATTTTATGATTTTTTGACATTATAATTTTATATTTTACGATTTTTTAATCCGTCTCCAGTTTTACTTAAAATTTCGATTCTAACAACATTGATGGTCATTCCTACCAATACATTGTTTAGTGGGGCCACTTTATATTTTTTTAGGTCTCTATTATTCTCTCTGCTCTCTCTTCAATCTGTCTCGGTAGAAGATTGTTTTTTCTCTTCAGTTGTCTGAGAAAAACAATTTCCTATTTTAAATAAAGATAAGAATGCAATTATGCAATTGTATGCATTATTTAATATAATCATAAACAGTGAAAGAGCAAGCAAAATTATTAAGCCCGTGCCAAAAAAAATTATCCGGAGCTAAATATTAAATTTATTATTTTTAGATGCTACATTTTATTGGCAGGAGCCAACGTGGCTTCACCATTAATCATAAATATATAAAAGTGAAGAATTATAACCATACAAAATAAATAAATAGTTATAAAATTATTATTATTATTTATTTTTGTATGATTATAATTTTTTCATGTAATATGATCATATAAAATAACACATAAGATATTCATTTTCAGCATAATTAATATAGTTTGAGATTTGAACATATAAGTTAATAAATTAATCCATTAAAATTATACTAGTATTTTGATCTTTTTTAACAAGAAGTTGTTATGATATCGTGGTTGTTTTTAGTATAGGGATTTTATGGTTATTTATCAATAATTTTTAATTGTTATTTCTTAAGGATACCTGGAGCGCCGAATTTGATGTTGTTTTTTTTATTAAATAGAGAATTTTTTCCCTTTTCACCTTTTTGTTTTATATTTTCCTTTAAATTTTAAAAACCTTTTCTATTTATTAAAAGAAAACACTGAGTTAAGTGCTCCCCGTGCATTGAATTTTTTCTCCATCTAATGTGTGAAACGGGTTAACTCCACCCGTTTAGGCTTAGCTCCATTTAGTATGGGGGTTAAACAGGACATGCAAACAATAGTTAATTTTAAGGATTCCTAATTTCTCATGTTGTAAGAGAAGAGAAGAAACTTCTTCAACAACCAATTAACATTATGTATTATCAATAATACATAATTATAATATTAAAATTAATTTTTCTTTTTGTCAATTAGCCGACAATCTCTTAGTAGAGAGGAAAAAAAGTAACTTTTAAAATTATAATTATATACTATATGTAATATATAGTATTAATTATAACACGAGAGCTATGTTTCCCTAATTTTAAACGGGTTAACAAACCATTAACTTGAGTATATTTATTAAGGGTGTGATGTTTTTCATGTTATAAGGATAAAATTATTTCTTACATACATATAAAAATATGTAAGACCTATGACTATGTGAGAACATGTGAAGAGAAAAAAAATATGGATCCTATACACTTTTATATATGTGTAAAAATAATTGTATCTCTTACAAAATAAGAAATATTAAATTCATTAATTAAATATCCGGGCTTATAAATAAGTAATTATAAAATGGTGACATTGAAATGGTAATTTAAGAAGGTGAGACAAAGTTTTCGTGATGACGTTAACTGTTAAAATAACAGAGCCCACAGAGGAGTCTCCCAAACGTTAATTTTAATCAATCTTACTCTTGGAAATAAATTATTATCGCACTTCGAGTTATCTTCCTTTCATAATAATTAAATATTTTTTGTTTTTCTATAATTATATTTTTATTTAAGATGAGATATCATGTTTATTTTATATATTTATCTTTAATATTATTAGATTAAAATTTTTAATTTAACAATATTGAAGATAAATAAATAAAATAAATATGCATGATATTCTATTTTATTTATTTATTTGTTTTTATTTGTTTTTTGGATAGCTTATTTATTTATTTTTAAATTGCTGCTTCTATTTATTTTTAGTTTAATGTTTGTCATTTTAAATAATATAATTTTATATTATTTTTAATAAAACTATGTTATTTTAGTGTATTTTATCATTTTCTCTAATTTATAAAATTAGAAATAAAAAAATAGAGAAGAGAGAATATAAAAATTTATCAAAATAACATAATTTCATTAAAAATAACATATAAAACTGTGTAATTTAAAATAACAAACATTTATTCGTTTATTTCTATGCTTCTTCTACTATTCAGCACACATATGCACTTCTCAGATCACATTCACACACTCTTTCTTCGTAAAACCCTACTCTCTCTCCCATTTCTCCGGCGACAATGGCAACCGGTCTCGACATGTCACTCGACTACATTATCAAGAGCTCCGCCGCCGCACCTCGCCGCCGAGAATATGGTCCCGGACCGGACCGCCGCTTCACTCTTCACAACCTGGCCAGAACGACGCCGTACGCAATCCCTCAGGTGATTTAGGGTTTCGTTTCTTATTTATTTTTTTGTTTTATCATGATTATTATTATGATGATGAACCAAACATGGTCTTAGTCTTAGTGTTCATCGTTTTGATTTGGAGATGAAACAATGACAGGGAAGGCAAGCTAACGTGGTTCCGGAAATGGTTTTGGATGGTGCTGCAGCTGAGAGTGGCACAAAACTCTATATATCTAACTTGGATTATGGGGTTTCCAACCAAGATATTAAGGTATTATTAATTTTAATAATGATAATAATAATTATTATTATTGTTATTATCTACTCATATGAAATTCATTTATTTTCAGAGTTTACTCTAAATGTGTTATGATCCATTTCTCTTTGTTGGTGGGCTTATAAGAGCTGTTTTTAGTGAGGAATGTTCAATTTTGATTCATTTGTGTTCTTTCAATTGAGACTTCAGTTCAAGTTTCCCATATCAGGCCTTGCCTTAGTGGTGGTGTGGTACTAGTTTTGGCTTATATTTTTCATCTGGAAACAGCTTAAAGAAGCACTGACAGATGAAAATTTTGAAAATTAATACATCATGCTTGGCCATTGCGCATATTTAAGTGCATTGTTGGAAGTTTATGTCTGCGGACTGGTGTCTAGAACATATAGTTTACTTTGTACCTCTTGGTGCATAGAATGTTGCTACATGGTACTGTTTGCTAAGTGTTCAATTGGTTTCATTATCTTTTTTAAATTAAATATCATTTCTGATCACAACCCCGTCGATCTGGTTTTTTTAATTTGGGCCACATCCCAGTTTTTTTTTCCCCCTTGTTTGGGGTACATCAAGGAGACATTACAATAATTTGAAACTATGATCTGTACCCAAGTCCCATCTCACCCCAACCACTAATGTTACACATCCAAAAAAAATAAAAATATGTAACCTTATTTTATGTGTCAGTCCAATAATGTAAAAGAGTTTAATCCTCTTGCCTGCCTTTCTCAGCTGCTGTTCTCGGAAGAGGGTGAGTTGAAAAGGTACTCCATTCATTATGACAAGAGTGGGAGATCAAAGGGAACAGCAGAAGTTGTCTTTACAAGGCGGTCTGATGCTTTAACAGCCATCAAGAAATACAACAATATGAGGCTTGATGGAAAATCATTGCAAATTGAGCTTGTTGGAACAAGATTGGTTAGTTCTGCTGTCACGCCTCTTTGTCAAAATAGCTTACTGGGAAGACCAAATAATGTCCTAGGAAGGTGTGAAATTCTGATTCCTGATCTTACGAGCTTCTTAATCTAATGTTCTATAAATTTTTTCATTCATCTAGTCTGAGTTGTGAATGTATAGTATCCTTAGAAATACTCTATAATCATTGTTAAACTTTGCACTTGTTTCATGAAATCACAAGATATGTTTATGTACGAGTAGAATTCGGTAATTTAAATAGTTACCTGTTCTGAGGTTATGAATATATGATTGTTCGTTCATGGATAAGGTATTAAATATATCTGGAGTGTTGAGTCCCTTTCCCTGATATATAGCAATGGTGATGCCATGTGAATTGTTCTTATACTTAGTCAGGTTTTCTCCTCCATGTCCCGTTTCTTAAGTACCTTCTCTGTTACTATTAAATACAAGTTTCATACTATTTTCTGCTCACAGCGAACGAGGAAGGGTTGGAGGAAGCAGGTTCCACATTGGCTTTGCTCGTGGCTACCTTCCAAGGGGCCATGGAAAAGAGAAGGATCATGTTCAAAAGGTATCTTTTAGAGACCTTGATCATGACTTGGAGAGGTATCATCGCCGTCCAAGATTCCTCGGAGAAGTGAAGGGCCATATTGGAAAGGTCTCTGTTAGAGATCTTGATGCTGATTTAGAGAGGTATCACTTAGAAGCTATGCAGATAAATGAAGAAAACGGAAAGTGAGATCATGATTGTTAGCTAGAATGACTCCTATTCTGAATACATAGGTCATAAAAGCATGGGGTGTAGGATAACGGAAATATGTCTGGGGTTCCCATTTCTAATTTTAGTTCTAAGATTTTACTTCTGTATATGTTAGTTTGCTATTTGTACATCTCAGTTTCAAAACTTTCAACAGATTCAGTTACCTCATTGGAGATACAGATCCATGGATATTTTTCGCACTAAAGAATCAAAATTCCCATGACATGTTGCTTGGATGGCTAATGATAATCAGTAGCTCAATACATTGTCATTTTTTGGAAATATATGTGTGTGTTTCAACAGATTTAGTTACCTCATTGGAGATACAGTACAGATCCATGGATATTTTTCGCGCTAAAGAATCAAAATTCCCATGACATGTTGCTTGGATGGCTAATGATAATCAGTAGCTCAATACATTGTCATTTTGTGGAAATGTATCACATTGTCAATTTTTTGGAAATGTGGTACTTTTACAACTCTTACAACCTCACTCTCAAGTATTTGTACTCCTCGGAGTATATAGTTGAGGTTGTAAGAGTGTATATATATATATATATATATATGGATTAATGTTTCTCATGTTGTAAGAGATAATAATTTTATCTCATACACACACATAAAAATGTGTGGAACTCATGTTTTCTCTGTCTTTCTCTTCTCTTGATATGACTCTATATGAGCTTCACACACTTTTATGTTGACCCTCAGTTCTAATATACGAATAAACAGTTTCGGTAGCTAGTGGCAAGTTTTTTATGGTTTATACCAATTAAAGAAGGCAATTATACTTCTCATGTTGCTGCTAAAAGAGTTCTTCTGCAGCACACATTTACCAGGATACAGCGTCAAATCTTTGTATTTTTTTTTTTTTAAAATAAAATCAGTAGGTCCCTTTTTGTGTGTTTGCTGCAAAATCTGCATATCAACTGCAGAAAAAACAAATTCATTAAAGAAATGACGTTAATGCTATCGCTCTCGAAGTTGTGCACTTTCTGTTATGTTAGAGGTTTCTTTGTTTTCAGTATAATGTTTTAGCATGGGGATTTGGATTACTGAATTGCATGTTCTGTACATGCAAGGGTCTCTACAGTTGCTTAATGAAATTAATGTGACAAAGGGAATTGAATGAAATCAAAATTGTCAGTTTTCTTGAGCTTAGAAATCTAATTACGGTGTGAGTCTGCTTAGCTGCACTCTATTCCTTGTTCTTAAGACTGATTTGGGTAGACGATAGCTACCCTTTGGAATTGTTCTTGTTCTTGGCCAAGAATGGTTCTCGAGGTCTCTTTCATTTTATATTTTTTGGTCCTGGGAGGGGGAATTCGGGAATTGAAAAAAAGGGGTGCAGGTGTTTTACGGGAAATCAAACTCAGTCCCTGTGTTTTACTAAGGTCAGGTCTTAGGTTTCTTTCACCTAGGTTGAAATAGCTTGCCTATCATGGAACAGGTAAGCTTTATAATGGACGTGGAGATAGTGTGCTATTCTGGTTACATTAGCCATAAACTTAAGCTCAAAAACACATTCCAACTAAGATTTGCATTGATTTTCTATTTGAATCCAAGGATTAGCAAGTTCTGAATTGTAGCTATATTAGAGTCGGTGCTTGTTTGGTTTAGTTGTGCGTCGGAAAGATTTACGTTTGAATACTCCAAAGTCAATTTTTTAAACAGTGGATCATGGCTATTTTTTATGTGCATTAACACTAATTCAATGCAAGACTCGGTTCTTTTTGAAGCAACGCAAGATGTGCTTTCAAAGTGAAAAAAACAAATTCTGAGTTAACTATGATGTCATATAATGTAGCCCTCGCTTATGTTTATACTAAATTTTTAGATTTTAAACTTAAACTAAGTAATTTCCATTTACTCCACACCATCCAAATAACATCGATTATTCTAAATTACTATACTAGTTATACCGATTAAATATTTAGAAACAATGCAAGTTATTTTTTGGCCTATCGATTAAACTAATAAGATCTCCACATCATTGTTTAATTAGCTTAAAGATTAAACTAATAAGATATCCATATCATTGTTCATTTAGTTTAGATCATCATTTTAAAAAATATAATTTTGTGTCATTTTAAATAAAATAATTATATTTTAATATATGTGTTAGCTATTTACATTCTCTCTTCTCCCAAGAGAAAGAAAGAGAGAATATTATATAAAAGAAAAAAAAATATAAAAATCCAATAAATATAAACCAAAATACTATCATTTCACTTAAAATAAAATGAAATTGGAAAAAAAATGAGTCATTTTAAATAACACACCTTATATCCTTTCACTCTCACAAAGAGATAGAACCCACACCTTTAAAACTTTTCCCACATATTCACTTTCCTATGATTTATCTCTTTCTCTCACTTAGAATGACACTACTGTGTCCTTCAAAATGATACATATTTTTCAAATGAAATTATATCCTTTTTTAATCAATCATATTTATGAACACTAAACTGAAAAAATAACCGGTTCATGGTCTAATCGATTCAACTAATTCAGTCCATTTTTTAAAATGTTACATTGTGTCGTCAATAATAATAATAATAATAATAATAATAATAATGTATTATCAAATTTACCAAGATTAAAATGCACATATGTTTACATTGTGCCCCAAAACTGTGTGCATCGTAATTGCAAATATATTAAAAAAAAAACAAGAAATTATAAAGGATTATATGGGACTGAGATTACAAACTGTCCCATACAAAAACCATTTCCATCATAAAACCCGGAATAGATCATCTACATAGTAATTTCTCAATACATGTTACAATTTTCGCAAAGAAACATAAAATCACATATTTACAGAAAACAAGGAGAGCAACTTGGCTGCCTCTAAAAGTAGACATACCATAATGCACCTACCAAAGGATTTCATTGGACCTGTGATTATATTGACAACGTACAAAACTGAATTTTCTTTTCCCATGAAAGTTCCTGTATGCCAAGTAAAAAAAGCAAGCATAGAGGCAGCCTTCATGAATGAAAAACTGAAGAAGGCTCGGTGGGAAATCTAATTCCTGTACACAAGAAACAAACTAATGAAGTTCTGCACACATTTTCCTTGGAATATATTGCCCGCCAGCCAGCAACTGCATGCACACAAAATGATAACGTCATAAGAAGCTACTACATTTCCTTCAATGTGAAATCAATTAAGTGACAACTGGTAGAAAGACCAGAGCTTTGTCAATACAAAAAGGCCTAGCATATCACAAAGTTTAGCAGGTCGAATATGTCTACTAAGGCCTGCATATGTTTATAGCTCTTAAAAGGGCCGACCCAGTTCAAATACCCACTTCGTGAGTGTCTGGGGAAGGGAATACTCTAGGCAGTCTTTCCCCTGCTTTTTGCAGAGAGGCTGATTCGAACCCGCGACCTGACACACCACGGCAAGCAAGCTTACCGCTGAGCCAAGCCGGCCCTTCATGTTTATAGCTCTTATAACTTCTAATTATCTGTACATCATAGATATGCTTGCAAGAGCCCCTTTGGTTTGGATTTCAAATGGTTACCCACCAAAGCAAGAGAAAGAGGAAGAGAGGGCGATGTACCTGACGGCAGGCCTGGATCAGCAACACTCAACGGCTTTGTCAAAATCAGGGACATTCAAGATCATTCCTTACAGAACTCTGGCTTCTCTCAGTAGTTGAAAAACATGTGGAAGATGAAGGCATGATGGCAGATACAACATGGCACTCCAAAAGAGTAATATCACTGAAGAGATCAACAGGATGCAGTATGTTTCCTAGTTCTGTTAATTACTTCTCAGAATAATCAATCAATATTAAGAGCTCACCCAATTCCACTGGCTCTCTTTCTCTGGCCACAATTATAATCTCCTCTGACATGCTGAAAATCATTCACAATTTTGTTTCTGTAAGGAAGCAAACGAAGTTTAGTATGTCCTGGATATACGTGTCTCAATCTGAGTCAATTGAATGGTGGAAATTTTTTCCTGAGAATCAATACTGCAATTCCTCAAAACAACACGGACCTCCAACTCCAAACAATATACCCCGAGAATGCCATGCCATGAAGATTACAAGTCAATTCCAACATCATTTGCCAGTTGAAGTATGCCACACATTTGGAGGTATGGATTCTCTAAAAGTTTTTCGTTGTTACTCTGCAATGAAAATATAAAAGCATACTCATAAAATTGACAAGTAAATATTAAATCACCAAAAATACTAAAATATTGAGAAAATTGAAAAGAAAACAAACATATAGAAATTTAAAAGAAATCAAATTACTTTTATTTGAAGAACACAATGAAATGAACTGCAAAAAGTTCCTAGAGAACTATTTTTTTTTTTATAGAAATCCATAGAGATATTAGCAGTAAGATATAGTCATCCTGAAGTCAGAATTAATTAGTCCCAAACATTTGCTCATTGCACCATATCTATAGGTGGCTTTCCCACCTATGTACACATTCCAAGCACTATTCATTTATCTTTTATAAACTTTTGCATAACCACTTAACAGGTTTAATCAGCTTAGCAGGAGCAGTATCCCCTAATATGTTAAACTCAGGTTTCATTTCAACCCAAAAGGTATTAGCTAATAGCGATACAGATCTATAAGTGAACAACAACTTCTTACTAAAATAGACATTTTAAAATAGGGTTTCTTTTTCTTTTTTTTTTTGGTACAGAAAAATAGGGTTTCTTATTAACAGTGAAACGAAATAGTGAACATCTAACTCCCTTGTCACTTGAGGATCACATCAGCAATTAAATGATATCCATATAAGACTATAATAGTATAATCGATGACTTCAGCATGCAACTTTCTCTCTGGGCGGCACTGTATTTCACATTGTTGAAATTATAGGGTTAGATGGAAAAGAAAGACTCCTAAGAATACAATGTATGAGATGTGTGATACAAAACGCCAAATCTAATATGCTCCTATTTATACTAATAATATAAGCCAAATACTGCTATAGTCAAACTAGTACAAACCCATCCCAATAAGACTACAACCCTAATAATACTCCTGATACATGAATAACCCTAATATTCTAACACAATCCATTACATGCATTCATGATCTCAAAACTTATACCTACTGCATGGCAATTATATAAAAGACAATTTGAATAAATGCAAGATTAACATGTTAATCTCAGGTTTACTAACGGTAGAAGGGGAGCTCCAAGCAAATAATTAAAAAATGAAGGTACCTGTTGAGCTTTGACAATAAGATTCTGAAGCATCTGTTGATATTTCTCTGGCTTCTCGGTCATCATTCGCTGCAGCAAAGAGAAATTATTACAAAAGATGATATTTATGGATCAAATATATTTTCAACGCCGAAAATCAATTAAAATCCATGCCTTCAGAAGAAAAGCGGAAGAATAATATGCCACTCTTGAATCCGTGTCATCCAAAAGTTCCCTGCCAGATGCAAGAAGACTCATGCTTTATACGTCGATCTATAAAGGTAACAAAAATAGGAAGGCCTACTACTTTAGAAAGAGCATAGAAGTTTGGAATCACCTAAAAAATTGTTCCCGACCAACTTCTTGAAAAGCAACAGGATCTGCTGTGCATTTACCAATAAGAAGTAGGAGAAGTGTGGCCCGAATATCAGATGTAGCACCAGGCAGGTTTCCTCTTCCTTTACTTCCAACAGCAACACCCAATGCAATATCGTCTGTTGCTGCTCCAGCCAACTGAATTAGTGGCCAATATAGCAAGGCAGCAGGAACACGTGCAATTAATTGCATTGGGACAATGGCTCGTCCTTGGAGAAGTGCTGCCATTGACGCAGTCGCGTGATCCAGATGGTAGTTATTATGATAGCCTGATCTTCTGTTAGCTTCTTCCTTGTTGTGTTCATCCCAGTGAAAAGTATCTTGTCTATGGACATGATTATCACTGTCAAACTTTTTGCTTACACTTGTACGATTTAAATTTCTACCATATTGCACATCATCTCCAAAGGGCAGAGCTGCAGCAGGAGGAACTCTTAGGCACAATTGAGAGAATAGTATGTCACACATCTGTTTAGAAACAGAGGAAGTGTTGAGAAAAACAGGTAATGATGTGCCAAACAATACTCAAGCAGAAACCCCAAACGTTAAACCAAATAGAAAATTCTCCAGACATTGCACCCAGGAGTAATATAAACAAACTGCATTCAAATTTTGTTATTTAGAAGAAAAAACTAATCACTACAATATTAACAAGTTTTTCAGCTACTTAATCGTTTATGTCATTTCAGATTTGGTAGAAAGTAATTAAAATTATTATAAAATGAATCTTCAGTCACGTGACAAATAAATCCATTTAATTACATATCATAAAAGACCATGCTCAATCAGCAGTTTATTAATAATTAAGGACAGCCGAAAGTTCCTAACAGTTCCCCAAACAAAATCCTATGTTGGCAAAATACAGTGTTCTTCTCTTTCCTTGATAAGATAAAGAACATGCAGATTTACTTGCTACATTTTTTCACAACTAGAGAGCTTTGCTATGATTTTATGAGTATTTATTGTTATGATATGAGGATATTTAGCAAAAAGACCTTTTGAGTTCAGAAACAATTACTTTCAGAATATTGATGTGGTCTGTTTCATTTATCTGAAACACCAAAGACAAAGCACTGCTCATTATGTCAACCACTGCATTGGCTTTCTCAAGATGCCAATCTTTCTTCCCATGGTCAATATCTCTGCTGCTTGATTGTTGCATTTCATGCTCATCTAACAAAAATTTACATCTCATAAGAAGCCTTTCAAGAACAAACAAAAAACCCCATCTAATGTAGTTGTATTTCGACTTCAAAAGTCCACACATAAGTAAAATGGGCAAAGGAACATCTGATGTATCCGAAGAATCCTGAATTCCAGCTTGAGCAATTTTCTGCTGGAAGTACGTGATACTTGACCATATATTTCCATCTCTTTCTCCACTAATTTCAGCAATAAGCAGATCACCTAACCAGATATACCCATTCTGACGGTAAGAAATTCTTTCAGAATGAAGAAGGGAATGTAAAGTGGTCCATGAGTGTTTTGCCTGCAAACCAATGCCATTTCTCAGAGCCACAACTTCCATATTTTCTAGAAACTTGTGAGATTTGGTTATCTGAATCATATGAGAGAACTCTCTGTCCAAATGAGTGAAAGAACATATCACAGCATCAAATTTCTCGGCTACAATTTCCAGTAGCTGCAAAGATTTAAAAGAAACAGGCATGATACCAATGAATATATACACAATTTAAAGAAGACGAATTTTAAGCCAAATATATTTCAAATTGAAAGAGACTCCTTAACCTTCAATTAAAGAGTAAAATGAATGGAAATTAAGTGAATTAAATCAAATATTACGATGAAGGCAGATGCAGCTCAGTTAAACCAATTCATAGCCTGGTCTCAGTCATCCTTCTAATCCGTTATTTATACTTGCAACCAATTGATATTGCAACGGAGAAGAATAGACTCTGATAAAGTATCTTGAATGGGAAAATAGTACATCTTCTAATTTTGATAGTAAAATCAATTCTATGAATCACAAGGAGATTCGTCTGAAAAAATCCTTATTAGAAATGACATGAATGACATATTACTAAAAGAACTCTAATTGTTGCATCATACATCATTATGTGATCAACACAACTTTCAAAATATTGCAGACGCCATCTGAAGTATATACAAATTTAACAAGTTGTTTATGACAACAAAATTTCAGATTTAATTGTACTTCACATTGACTTCTCACCCTCGATGATTTCATAATCTTATATTTTTTAACAAGCATAGACTTTTCTGTTTGCTGAAGGTATTGCATAAGGCTATACATAACCATGAAAGTACGAGATGAACTCTTTTAAATGTCTTCTCCAGAGCACAAATGATTAAACATTACTCGCCTTGACAAACCAATCCAAGTTGTAATCATTTTGCTCATTATTTTACAAAGAAACCTATCTTGTGGGTTGTTGATATTAAGAAACCATTTAAAGGAGGGAAGGAGAAGAGGAGGGAGAAAGGGAGAGGAGCTCGGTGGTATTCATGAAAAAGTATAGCCCTAAATCTATCAAGCCTACAGACAAGAAGAAAATAAAAAAATAACATGGAAGTACCGTATTTAGTCGTGCACTGTTGGGATATCTGGACAGTGCAGATGCAATTGATCTTCTTAAAATCTCCCCAATGCCTTCTACCCCAAGTTTAACAGAAATATAAAATGCCTCGGGTGCATTTGTTTGAGCAAGCAGAGCCGCAAGAGGTTGGATCTCATCATCACTATATTCACTGACTCCTGTAGCTATACATGTTTCATTTATTTGATGCAGAATGTAATCAAAAAGCACTGAATACAAATTTTTCCTCTCTTCTCTTGAGTTTGCAAGGGAATACTGCATCCAACATAGAAAAAAGAGGGGGCAAATCAATCATACAATCTGAAACTAAGTAAAACTATAAGTAGGATCTTAGTTTATGACTTCATCCACACTTTATACTATCGTGAAAAAAACAAAAGCTGGAACCTTTTCAAGTAAACAATATGGCAAACCTACATTTGGCATGTCAAGCAATCATAACGGTCACAACAAATTCATGGTAAGTGATAGGACCCAGAAGTAGGATGGATATTGAATTAGTTAGATAATGCAGTTATGATAGTTACACGATTAGTTAGATAATGCAGTTAGGATAGTTACATGATTTAGTTAGATAGTTAGGCCGTCAGAAGTTATTAGGGGCAGGGGCATAGTTTAAATAGGAGGAAAGGTAGAAGTGGAGGGAGATTCGTTAGCATTTGGGAACTGAGCATTAACTCTGTTGTAGTAAGGAAAAACACTTGGAAGGAGAATTCTCTCCACAGGTCCCTAGTTGTAATTCAGTAAAATAAGGCAGAAGCATTATTTCTCTTTTTCCTTCTCTATTTTTCTCATCAACTCAGAATCCGTTTCTGGATTCCAAACAAGTTGGTCCGACCTGCTGAAACAACAAAAGTCTAAATATATATCCAGTCCTATATAGTCATTAGCCATTTAGCCTCAAGTAAGTCGAAAAACTTCAGAGAATGTGTAAAAATTTCAGAAGTCATTTATTATTATCATCTGGTCCAGATCCTAGCCTAATCATTTAAGTTCTGATGCAGGATGGACCTGTTTTCCCAAAGAGAATAATATTGTATTTTTGTGTAAATAATAAAGGTATTATTCTTAAAAAGTTTATCAGTCAGTCCATTACGATTTATACTCTAAGAAGCTTAGCAATATATTCTTTTAGTTTTTCATTTGACCTCTCACTTAGAGATTTTGAGTAACTACATCACCATTTAACCTGTAAAGAACCTTGGGATACACCACTCCAAAAGCTAGCTCAAAGGATGGGAGTGTCCAAGGCCTTATAAACTCCACATTAGTTACACATACAACCAATGTGGGACTATATTGCACATACAACCAATGGGGGACTATATATCTCAACACGCCCCCTCACACAAGAGTCCATTGGGCTTGAAGAGTGGACAATGCAACAGGCCCAGCCTACCTGTGCTAAGAAACGCCACAAGAGAAAGTGGGGGACGGCGAGGCTCTGATACCATGTAAAGAACCTTGGGATACACCACCCCAAAAGCTAGCTCAAAGGGTGGGAGTGCCCAAGACCTTATAAACTCCACATTAGTTGCACATACAACCAATGTGGGACTATATTGCACATAAGGCCTTGGGCATATCCCAAGGTTCTTTACATGGTATCAGAGCCTCGCCGTCCCCCACTTTCTCTTGTGGCGTTTCTTAGCACAGGTAGGCTAGGCCTGTTGCATTGTCCACTCTTCAAGTCCAATGGGCTCTTGTGTGAGGGGGCGTGTTGAGATATATAGTCCCACATTGGTTGTATGTGCAATATAGTCCCACATCGGTTGTATGTGCAACTAATGTGAAGTTTATAAGGCCTTGGGCACTCCCACCCTTTGAGCTAGCTTTTGGAGTGGTGCATCCCAAAGTTCTTTACATAACCTATGCAAAAAGAAGAAGCACTGAAAATATACAGTTCTTATTTATTAGTGAGTTTTATGATTTCCTAATTAACTGTCTAATAAGGAAAAGTAAAAATCTTTGTTGTACTAAAAATCAGACTTTTCAAGCAATAATGAGGGATGATTACCTAGCATCTGTTCTATTTCAGAATCACATATCTTTGTCATTAGCCATCATATCAACCTATCTATTCCCTGTTAAGGCTATATTTGAAAATCGAACTGACCAATCTGTCACAATTTTTAAATCTACCGTCTTACTCAATTTGAGATATTCTTCTTACTCAATTTGAGATATAATTTTCAACACTCTTTTACAATGCTCAAAATCAAATACATAATCCCAAGAAGGCTACTAAACAATTTCCAATACTAGTTTTGTATTTCAACATAGTAGACATGTCAAATACTACAAATATAAAGAACTAGAATCATATACCACCCACGATAAATTTCTGTTTTTCCAGGGAACAAGGAGCCTTTATTTGTTAACAAGTAAATCATTAAGGCGACACAATAGGCATTATTTAAACAGTAAAAACACAGGACAAAATATGAGGTACAAAAACAATCATTATCCGAGAAATATATTGGTAGTCATTATTAAAGGGACAACAGTATTATAGTAAGTAATAATAATCTCTATTGAAAACATATCAAGATTGAGGTTAAAAGATATGCATACCTCAATAAAAATAAATTGAACTCCTCCAATCAGATCAAGTTGATCCACAAGAAACTTTGGTTTGCTAGGTACAGGCTCGGCAACTTCATCAGGAACTTCATAAAACATGTTTGTTAACATGGAAATAAGCTTACAATGAACTAACTCTGCCCAATTATTCTCCCTGCTGGTTCTTATAAGTGCCTTCATAACCTACAGGCAGAATGGGACTAACTAAATTAGACAGAGATATCGTAATTAATGGCATCAAGCATATTAACAACACATAATAAAGCAGTGAATGAATGGCCACATAAAAACCCAAGATAAAAACAGGCACAACTCAAACTACAGTAGTAAGAATTATTTCATGGCTAAAATGCATAAAACTACAAAACTAACACGTAGCCCAATGTCCTAGGAGGGGAAACAAACTGTACTTATGGATAACAAAAAACACAGAACTGGAAGCTAAACCGCTAAAGGAACATCCCAAAATTGGAAGTATTAGATCCAATTTAAACTCTAATACATAATCCACTAACTGTTAATGAAACTAGCTAAAAATAATTTAATTTTCATCAAGTATTAAAGAAATATAATATAAAACCATTAATGTGGCCTTTAACTAACAACTTAAACTTTTAAGTTAAATTAACGTTTTACATGATATCAAAGCCTTTGTGACAAAGTGATCACCAGTTCGATCCTCACCACCCCCATTGTATTAATAAATAATTAATTGTTAGAGAAATATAAAACCATTAATATAGTCTCACTCATTTTTGAGTTGAAATGGTTCTTTACATAGTATCAAAGCTGACGTGACTAAGTGGTCATGAGTTCGATCCTTACCGCCCCTATTCTATTAATAATTTTTTTTAAATATTGTGGAGTTTCTTAGTACAATAGTCTAGGCCTGATGCATCATTCACCCTTCAAGCCCAATTGGCTTCTGTGTAAGGGGGCATGTTAGAGAAATATAAAACCATTAAAGTAGTCTCACCCAACAGTTTAAGCTTTTGGACTACAATGGTTCTTTACATAAATATCATGAAGTTTCTTAGGATAGGTAGGTGAGCCTATACATTGTCCATCCTTCAAGCCCAATGATCTTTTGTGTGAGAGGGCGTATTAGAAAAATAGAATGAAGCATTGGTCAAAGTAAAGAACCAATTCAATTCAACAGCTTAAGCTATCAAGTGAAGGCCTCTTTAATGGTTTTATATATCTCTAACATGCCCCTTTATACGAGAGTCCACTGGGCTTGAAGGGTGGATAATGCAGAGGCTCACCTACCTGTGCTAAGAAACTCCACAAGACTTAATTAATTATTAACTAAATGGGGGCGGTGAGGATCGAACCCGTAACACTGAGGCTCTGATACCATGTAAAGAACCAATTGTTTTCTTAGCACAGGTAAGTGTGTTTGTACATTGTCCACCCTTCAAGCCCAGTGGGCTCTTATGTGAGGAACGTGTTAGAGATATATAAAACCATTAAAGAGGCCTTCACTTGACAACTTAAGCTGTTGGGTTGAATTGGTTCTCTACATAGTATCATAGCTTCCGTGTCATGGATTCGATCCTCGCCACCCCCATTTAATTAATAATTAATTAAGTCTTGTGGAGTTTATTAGCACAGGTAAGTGAGCCCGTGCATTGTCCACCCTTTAAGCCCAGTGGACCCTCGTGTAAGGGGGGCGTGTTAGAAAATAATATAAACCTTTAAAAAGGCACTCACCCAACGACTTAAGCTTTTGGGTTGAATTGGTTCTTTACAGTCAAGACTTGGCTTTTGATTGGTTATTCCACCAAGAATCAGAATGGTTTACGCTTGAGTGAGGGCATGCTAATGTTAGGACTCACACTTAAGGAAGAGAATGTTGGAAATCCAAGTGCAAGTGATGAAAGACACATATTGGTTAATAATAGGTTAAGTGAGACCAAATAAGCGAAAGAAGTCCATGTACAGTTTGAAGTAAGGTTTAGAGTTAAGATGAGATGTCAAGCTAACTATTGTGGGTTGCCGCTAAGCCCAGTCTCTCCTACTTTTGGGCTCGCCTTGACCACCAAACAAGAAAACATATATAGTTTTATATTACCATTTCTATATGCCCCATCACGCAAGAGCCCTTTCGGGCTTGAAGTATGGACAATGTGCATATCCTTCCTTGGCTAAAATTCAACCTTTTATTAAAAGAATGGAGGTAACAAGGACCAAACTCTAGATTATTTGGTCACAGAGGCTTACGTACCATATAATGAACCTACTATCCCAAAAGATTCGGCTGTGTGAAGGCACATAAATATTTTATTTTTTTTATCCAACAAATTATCCCCCATCCCCATGCTTTCATTTTCTTGAATGAAAGTCTTACTTTCTAGCAAGACCTAAGAAGGAAACTTCCCAAATTCACTAATCAGTAAGCTTCCTCCTCCTGAATCTCCGTCCAATCTCCCAAAAAAAGTGAAGCAAAAAACTTGCCCAGCAGAATGCAGTATGAAACAAAAATGGGGTTTCCATGAAATACTGGTTGAGTAAAATAGGACAGGGGATAGTATTCCTCACCCTTATGTCAAGACCTATTAAACGGTTTCTCCAGATCTTTCCTCTATCACAGACAAAATAAAGCAAACAGCTGAGTGCAGATGCCCAGACAGGTTCCTCCTTTTCTTCAATCTGTATAAAGCAATTGATCAGCATAAAATGTTAAGAAATTATGAGAATATGATTAAACCATTATGAGAGAAAGAGTAGAAAGATAGACAGCGTAATTGTCTTAAGAATTGTCGCATGAAATAGATTATAAAAACTTTTTCTTTATGCATCTATGCACAGTTAATCTTGAAATTCTGAAATCAGTACAAGATATAAGATTAAAACTAGAGCAAACCCAAACAAATATCAGTACTATCCAAAAAGAAGAGTTTGGGAAAAAACAGAAGTTTGTTAGGAAATAGGAAGTATAACAGTAATTATTTCAACAGTTACTTCCCCTATCTTATCAGTTTATCAAGCATTAAGGTCCCACCTATAACTAGAATTACTCTCTCAAATTTTATTCGAAAGTATTTATCTTCAATGTTACAACGTACAAGTTTAAAACAAATTTCATTACTGCACACTCTAAGTCATATAAACTTAAAAAACAAGACATTGATAAGAAAATCTTCAGGTGAGAGTAATTTTGCTTTATATAACTAACGAAGATTTAATTAGAATAAGTACAAAGTGGGGGACGAGGTATTCTCCTAATCATTGGTGCATGTACATCTGGAGGATTTGCATCCTCTTATTTTAGCTTCTATAGTGATCCTGTCAATTAATAGAGAGAGAAAGGCACACAGTTGATCCCCGTGTACAGGGTCGTGTGTCCATATCTTCAAACGACAAGGTCATATCAGGAGCTAAATAAGAGTATCCGAATATAGAATTATATTATAACACATAGAACAGGTGAAATTTGACAAATACTTTTATGCACTCAAAAAAATACTTTTATGCACTATTGAACAAAAATGTTTCATCGATTAAAAGAAATCATATATTTAGATGACAGATATTGATCTAATCTAAAAGCCAATACTTGCATGAAGGATACATAAAAAACAATTGTTGAACCAAAGAAGATAAAACAAAATTATCTTCTAGAGAATTTCTACCCACCATTCTTTAGATATCTAAATGTATTACATTATCATATTAGAATAGAATTATTTGTCCAGACAGACAAATCATCAAGCAAGAATTCAACAATTATCTGATTGAAAGTCTAATTTCTTGTTAAAACAAATATTTTTTAAAACAGCAAATGACTAACCCATCTTTGCTTTACATATTCCCAAGCAAGTGCTATTATCACATTTTACAAATCCATCTAGCATATAGGTATCACCCTCTTAAAACATGAAATAAAGCCACAAATAACCTTATCTCAATGTTTTCAATAAATAAATAATTGCAGTTTTATCTTGTATTCTTATTTTCAGTCCATTTATTTCTCAAAACAATAAAAACACCCCTTTCCTCATTTTAGTTCTCCAACGGCAACCCATCTAGATCATATCATGTATAACAGAAATCAATATAATAAAATGTATAACAGAAATCAATATATTGTAAAATGTCTAAAATAACACATTGACACTGGTCCATCAGGTGATTCCAGCAAAGAAAAATTATTAAACGTAATTAAAATCCAAGATACCTCATACCTGAACAAGAAGAAGTAGAATCTCAAACAGAATATTTAAAATCCAAGACTTAAAATTATCAATTGCCAAGACTCCGTCCAATTTGTTCTGAGAATGTTCTTTTCTGCTTCCTGGCGCCATAACTTGAGTGTCATTGTCATAATAGGTTTCTTGAGAATATTCTTCTTCAATTGTGGAAGCATCACCAACAATCATTGGTTTTAGGAGATGAGCATGAACCCCAAGGTTTAGAATTAAATCAAAAGCACGAACCCTGCAAGCTGTTTTAGAAGAACTAAGCATCTCCTGAAAGATGAATTTGAAATATAAATTAGTAACAACAAAATAATTACAGATGGTCATAACAGGAAAGTTGTACTTTATTGATGCATCACCTCAAGCATAGAAAGAGTGAGAGGAGCAGCTGTCCGAGAATCTGTAACATACCTACAAAAAAATATTTTTAGGACCATCATACATAATCGACACACAGAGCAGCATAAACAAACATAGAAATGTGAATAAAATGGACAATCATGCAGACCGCTGCCTAAAACTAAATAGCTCAATCTTCAAAGTTTTGAAAAACCATGTAACTATATCTTTGGCAATGCTTTCATATAACAATATATTGATGATAGGTTATCTAGCAACCCAAACTACAATCCAATGGACATTGGCAGAAGTACCAATCAACTAGTTTTACATTTGCACACCTCCATAAAACCCACCATTCCTTATTTTTGTCAAACCTGAAACCTTTGTAACCAAACAATAGCTCCTTCAATTGTGAAGCACACAAACCAGTCTCCAATTGATAATTAACAAATTTTCAAGGAGATTTGTGGATGAAATATATATATATATATATATATATATATATATATAGTGTATGTGGTCCATTAGAATATCTGAAATATGTCTCATCATATCATAAAATTTGTTAGGGTATCTTATATGATTTTTTAAGAATGGTTTCCAGTTTCCACATTCCATTATATTTAATGATTTGATACCTTGTTCAATTAGGATTAGGAGTCTAATAATACTATAAATAGGGTTAGTGCTTTCTCAATATAATTTTATTACTCTTAGTATTACTTTTCATCCTTCTATACATCAATCCTATAATTTTAACATGGCCAATGTGAGGATTCTGGTGTATTGGGATTAAGGCATGAGGGATGAGTGGCTACACCTCGTAATCTTCATAGATCATAGTGAATCTTATTTGTTCCTCTGTAGGATAAAACTGTGTTGAATTCTGTGCCTATTTTTCTTCTCCCCATTCGCTGTTCAATACAACAGCTTCCAGGAATGGCCTTCCTTAAATTGGTGCCCCAGAATATAGTTTTACTTGCGAAAGGGGAACCAACTTCAATTAAAATATTTACTAGCTTGAAATTATATCTATATTATTTCTGTCAAAATAAGCAATAATCCCATATCATTTTCTTTCATGTTCAACGTTAGTCCCTCCTCTTTCCTCGACTTTCAAAATTAATTTAACTTATCCAAATTTTAAAGTTGTGAGATTGGGAAACTCACAACTTTAAAATTTTAATCAGAGGAATCAGGAATATGTGGTAAAATTGATAGAAAGACAGTGATTTGGGGTAAAGAGATTGTAACCAAGAAAGGAATAAAACATAAAAGACAGCAATTGATTGAAACATACATGTCAATAACTAGTTTAATAAGGACGCTCACAGCCACATCCGCTGATGGTTTTCCGCTGTTATTGCTTAGTCTAGTTGATACAGTCATGACATTGGGATTTGGGGAAGAAGCCTCTGAGCAAACTGCAGCAATAACTTCATGTACCTCAGCAGGGTTCAATCGTAGAGGCTGTTGCTCACTGGCAGCGTAAGAACATTTTGTGAGATGTAGAAACACAGATATAATTTGATTATTAAAAACTAGTGTATGATCAAAAATAGCAATTTCTTCTCTGAAAACACAAGCAGTATGCATAAAATTATAAAGATGACAAGAAGTTGAAAGCTAAAACCAACAACCAAGGCTTGAAAATAGCGAGCATAATATATAAATATAACCAATATATACCAAAGCAAACTGTAAGGTATTTGGGAGTCAATTTACGAAAATATAGAAGCTTTAAGATCATGTAATCATTGCTTTTAAAGAATGCCCACGATTAAATTAACGCATTTCTTTTGCAGTTTGCTTTAATAATTGAATAATGAAATAATTCAGAATCCAAATTGGAAAGCAATTATAGCAATGCAAGACTTAGTTAAAACCTGTGTTATAGAACTCATTTTCGGTTGCAATAAAAACATAAGCAAACATTTGTTATCAAATTACTATGTAGAATCTGTTGTCACCATGATCTATACCTGTAATGACGATACTGGAAAAGTTGTCGAGCTCGGGGACGGAATGTAATCAAAGGAGAAACCTCCCTGTAGACATGGCAATGTTCAGAACAGAAAAGTTTTCAGCATGCCAAAGTAATTTTATATATAGCTCACATTGTAGGTAAAAAGAATATAAAACATTTATCCCCGAAAAAAAGGGAGAGAGAGAGAATATCAAATATTTATCACATATTTTAGGCCATTAGTTACAATATAATTCATGGAACATTTCAGTCTTCATGCAAATAAGTGATTAATGAAGTCATCCGATACTGAATCATACGCAAGCACCATGCACACAAGCATAATTCAAAGCCAACTTTGAGTGATTCGTCATCGCCAAACAGAACTCAAAAGTACTGCATAATAACCAGTAGTACTTTTTCTTTTTCTTTAAAGAATAAGAGGAATTTATAAAGGAGGAAAGAACAAGAAGGAGTACACAGAGAGAACCTGAATTTACAAAATGAATACAACCAGATCCCCAAACCAGTCAATTAATCAACAAGAAACTACCAATTCATGAACGGCAAACCCACGCTTCCCCAGAAATAAAGATCAATTTACCCCGCATATGCCAATGACAATATACAAATATAATTCTTATGCTAAGATTTATTTTCATAGAAGCCCACAGGACATTGACAATAAAATGTATTCGTCTTTTGCAAACTACACTAAAATTCTAAGAAACAAGGTACACTCCTTTCAAATCAGAAGTACTTCAACTTCAGATATAGTACACAAACAATTAAAAAAGGTGAAAAATCAACTTTCTGATATAATATTTGGCTCAAAATAAAAAAAATTGTAAGATTTATCATAGCATGACCTTGGATAAAAAATAAAGATATAAAAGAAAATTTTAGGAAGAAAATATATCAACGCAAGTTATATGGTCGAAGAACATGCCAAATTTGACGAGAGCCTGCTTTTGTGCGTTTAGATGCTGTTATTGCTCTCAGGTGGGGACGAGCAGATACAGAATTAGTAATTGGTGTTACGGGAAAGGACTGCAATAGCTGATCCAGATAAGGCATATCATCAGTTCCAAAAAATTTCCATGATTGCCCCTTCATCTTAGATTCTATGTCTCCTACAAGTAGAGCTGCGGCACCTACTTCTAAAAAATTGTGTGCTGTCATGTCTTGAGAATTCATAGCACGATCACTGTAATGAAACATGTTAAATAACAAAGTCAATTTCTGAAGCATTATAATAAGATGGGAGAAAAGTTAACGGGAAAACAGGGATGTAAGCTACCGAGGCTACTACCAAGACCCCTAAACCAACATCAAACATAAAAAGATTATTTACTTTTCAGTCCCTATCGATGATGACTGTGGTTCCTCAAGCCAGCGCCATTTGAGAACATCATGGGCAATGAACCCTAATTCGTCCTTTTCATCAACTTTTTTTATTTTTGGTAACTTTGAAACAGATAGAGCAATTGAATCTTTCTCTACTGTTTCTGGAACACTTGCAGGACTTTGTGTTTCCCGAACACTTGCAGGACTTAGCTGGGAATTGAAGGATTTACTAAGCAAAGATGACAATGTTGGCAGTGATTGTCCTGATGAAGAAGGTGGTCCAGCAAACGAGGCAGGTTGAAAAAGACGTTTGGGGATGTGTTGAGCCACTAGGGAACGCACATAACTCAGTGACTTCACAAGTGCCTCAGAAGTAACGCTAGATACAGGCAAAGGAGAAGTATTTGTGGATGTTGTTGATGCACCATATTGTCGATTCAAAGATTGTGACCATGGTAGATTTGGGTTACTATCACATTCAGCAATTATGGTTGAACAAAAACGGTCTATCTGAAGTAATGTCTCCTCGTTCGGTTTGTACCTGTTCATTAACAAGCCGTGAACAATTATTGGCTAAATAGCAAATAAAACAGGATGGTTTCTTTTCCAATATGCAGTCATACAAGGAAAAATGCCAGTTGCATTTTCCAGTTATTTTATGAATCTGAATAAAATGCAATCAATTGATCAATAAAAGAATATTAAGACATAAGACAAATTTGCACAACACTAAAAGGATTCACCATCCTTTTCCCCTTGCCCGTGAGAACAAAGAAATTGTCACTTAAGACAAATATAGGCAAAGATGGATTCAAGGACCACAAGGCCAACACATCCCCCGAGAAAATCAATATACAAAAATATAATTAACTTAATTAGAAAGTTGCTTTTTGAAGCATGGTACAATCGTCTTTTTTTCTGGGTTTTGCATTTTTTGGTTTCTTTCAAGAGGATACTTGATCCTCTACTTCTCTACTTATGTTCTTTATATTCTATTAGACAATCTGTGATCTTATCATAAAAAAAGGAAAATGGATTTAATTTGTCTAATTTTAAGTAGAATTAATTGTCATTCATCTTGAGAAATGAAAGACATTTGACCTTTGATGCACAGATACGGCAAAACAGATGTCAAAGATGCCTCCGATACATAGTTCATAGTAGCATACAGGGCAGAGACCTATGTCTTGTTTGGTAAACTTTTCAGCTTTTATTTTCTTCAACGAAACAGATTGAACTGGAAAAACCCATTTGAAAACTTCAGACACAGTATTAAAACACGTTTGCAAATGCGTGAAATGCAACAAAATACTTGAATTTTCTAAATTTAGCATTTAGAATGCCAAAAAACACCCAAAAAAAATATATCTAAACTACACTGAAACTAGTGTAAATGATCTGGTAGCTTTAAGCTTTAAGATCTACATGGGAGCACGGGATGTGCCTAGACACTTCAGATAACGAAAACATAAATTTATTGCATGGTAGAATGTAATGAAGCACAAAGACAAAAAAACTTCATGTCATTGCCGCATTTTTATGGGACTCTAGTCTCTAATTTTCTAATTTTAAAATTGTCATACTATGTAAAGAAACAAATAACAAGATACAATCCTTTAGGAGGGTAGGAGGAACATTAAAGTTCTGACTATTATTTGTAGTACTCCGGCAGAATCAGAACTCATTTCACAAGAACTTAATTTTCTGATTAAAGAAGGAATGTGAACCAACTATTTTCTTCTCCTTGAGGGTGTTGTTCATGAGATTAATACTCTATAGCCATCCTGATTTATTTAAACTATAGAGCTAAGATGCATCTTAGATCTTAGTGCATGCTTGAATTAGCTTATTTTTCTTCGACAAAAGCTTATTATCAAATTATTCAAGAAGAGAGAAATTTTTACAGAAATGTTTTTTTTGAGTGTAACATAATCAAAAACCCAACAAGCACTAATTTGACAAGTAATGATAGGCTTTGCCAAGCCTTAAGAAATAGTGAATAGATATGCTAGAAGTCTAGAACATACTAGACTTTACACGAAAAGATTTATAGACTATCCCATTACTTGATTACTCTTGAGTTCTTTATGTCCATTATTGCATATACGCATAAAATATATCAGAAACTTTAGTGCAGTAAATTTTGAAGGAGCCGCTTTCCCCAAAAAATGAAGACATAAATTTATTGCACAGTAGAATGTAATGAAGCACAAAGACAAAATCATGTCCCAGCAATTTTTGTGGTGTCTTTAATCATCAACTAATGAGCATCATTGTTGTTTAATCAAATTTATTGACAACAAGTATGCATCATTATTCTTTACGTAAGATTGGTAAAGCAAATAATATTCTTCTAACAAATTATTGCTCTAGAAGTAGAAGCTCAATGTCAGCACAAAGTTCAGCTAACAGCAACCAAGCAAAGCATGCAAACAGAACTGATGACTATTTGGCATAGATGAGAAGATACTTACCAATACTCTCTTCATTTTGGTATTACATATTAAGTTAAAGAAAGGAGGGTGAAAAGTGTAATTATTGAAATAAGTCCGCGTTGAAGTAACATGCAATTCTATGAAATCAAAATGCAAAAGAGAAAGACAATGTCTCAAAGATACAAAGCTGTCAAACTATTGAATATCCATTTATTCAAATAACTGGTAACAAACCTGAGGAGATACCGCTTCAAAAGTGCCACACACCTTGTAACTACTGCAGGACTGGTGAAAATATTGTCAATGTCAGATGCAGCTGAAACTTAAAATTAAACATAATACTAGAAGGCAAAAGTAATAAAGAAAATAATTTTGAGCAATTCAAATTTAAAAAAGAAATAACAAATATATCATAAACTGAAGTTGTACCGTTGCTTGAAGGCTTACTTGAGGTGCCTAACAGACACTAAGCATAGGCCTAAATGGCTCGGCTTAGCTGAATTCTGCTACAACAGTAATTACAATAATTCAACTAAATTCTCTCCATTTGTAGCCTTAAATGGCATGGATCCACCAGTCCTATTCAGAGGTACTGAAGAGTTTTCTACTGTTAAAGGTATTTACAGACTCATGACAATAAGGAACCAGATCTTGGATGAATTGAAGGAAAATCTGGTTGAGGCCCAGAACAGAACAAAGCTACAAGCAAATAAAAGAAGGGAGGTTGTTTATCAAGTTTGTGATTTTGTTTACCTGAAGAACCAGCCCTGCAGAATTTGGTCACGAGCAAAAAGAGCCAATGAAAAGCTTAGTCCCAGGTTTTATGGCCCTTATTAAGTTTTGGACCTCATGAAGTTTTGGACCTCGAAAAAAGTAGAAGAGATAGCATGCAGGTTGAAACTTCCTGACAACAGTCATATTTTATTCATCCAATTTCTCATGTTTCCTTGCAGCAAAAAAATGTTTCTGCTTCTGCTCTAATTCAGCCATTACCTAGCATGCTTTCTAAGAATGGCATTGAAATTATAGGGATTTAGGTCGGGAAGGAATAAAAGAGAGAATAAAGACTGAACAATATAAAATTAGTATTGATTTGATGTGTTATGATGTGTTACAGACTACAAAGCACGAATCCCTATTTATACTAATATTAGACTCTAAATCCTAATTAAATAAGGAAATAAATCATGAAATATAAATAAAATAAGGAAAATATTCCTAAGAAAATATCTATGATACTCGAAATTATTCTAAGATACAATCACAGTTATAAACCTGGACCCGAAAATATGGCCGCTGATGCCTTATCCAGAATTATGGAGCCCGCGGACCTTGAGTTGTCTAACATAGTATCCAGTCCCTATTGGTTAGATCTGAGTACTGTGAAGGAAGAGTATAAATCTGATCAGGCTCCGTAGAATGTCATAGCAGCTATTCAATCTGGCCAAGATGTTCCTGCGGATTATGTCTTGCAGGGAGAGCTGCTATTTTATAAGGGGCGCATGGTTTTATCCTCTAAATCCTCTCTCATTCCTGTGTTGTTGCAGGAATTTCATTCATCTCCTACCGGACGACATTCGGGATTTACTAGAACTTTAAAGAGAATTGCTAGTGGTGTATTCTAGAAGGGGATGCAAAAACAGATTATGGCATTTGTGAAGTCATGTGATATCTGTCAAAGGAATAAGCACCAAACCTTGACTCCTGTTGGACTTCTCCAGCCACTGCCAGTACCTCAACTGATTTGGGAAGATGTCTCCATGGATTTTATTTCTGGGTTGCCTAAGTCCCAAAATTATGAGGAGATCTTAGTAGTAGTGGATCGTTTATCAAAATATGCTCATTTTACCTTGTCAAACATTCTTTCACTGCTAGAAATATTGCTGAATTATTTTTGTTAAAGAAGTGGTTCGCCTTCACGGATTACCAAGATCTATCGTCAGTGACCATGACCCCCTATTCCTTAGTAATTTTTGGAAAGAACTATTTCGTTTGCAGGGGACTGTATTGAAGATGAGTACTTCCTATCATTCCCAAACGGATGGTCAAACGGAGGTGGTAAACCGTTGCCTCGAGACATACTTACGTTGCTTTGCTTCGGAGCAGCCTAAGCTTTAGTCATTATGGATCTCCTTGGCAGAATTCTGGTATAATACCTCTTTTCATAGCTCAATTAATACTACTCCTTTTACTGCTGTATATGGTCGTCCTCCCCCCAATATTACACATTATCTGATGGGAGAGACTCAGGTTGATGTGGTTTCTAGAGTATTATATGACAGAGATGAAGCCTTGCGCCAATTAAAATACCATTTAATTCGTGCTCAATCTTCTATGAAACGACAGGCAGATACTCATTGTGGGGACCTAATATTTGATGTTGGTGATTGGGTTTATGTGAAGTTGAGACCCTATAGGCAGATGTCCGTATCAGGCGCATTAATCTTAAGTTGGCTGCCCGTTTTTATGGACCTTTTAAAGTGACAGAGAAGATTGGAGTTGTGGCCTATAAATTGTTGCTCCCTGAAGGTTCTCGCATTCATCCCGTTTTCCATGTGTCCTAATTGAGAAGAGCCATCGGATCTGTCATGGCTGAGGGTGAACTACCAAATGGTTTGGCTGTAGATGAGACCAACGTTCACGAGCCAGAGTCGGTGTTGGCAGTTCGCAGCTTCGTTGATGGGGGCAGCTCATATGAAAAATGGTTGGTTCTTTGGAAATCCAAACCGGTTGAAGAGGCTACTTGGATGAAGGCCTGTGACATCAAAGGGCAATTTCCTAATTTTTGCCTTGAGGACAAGGCAGCATCTATAGATGGTGGTATTGATAGGAATGCAACATTAGGCCCATGTGTATGTGCAGATATACAGCCCAAGCAGAGGAGATGGACTGGCCCAACATTGGTTTACCAAAGGAGTAATAGGAATAAGGGAAGGGAAAATGTGTGACGTGTAATAAATTGGTTTTATCAGAATTGTATTGACAGTTATAGTGAGTGGGGAGTATAGTTTGTTATTGCTTTTGTGTTTATATTGGACGTATAGCATGACCATAGGCAGGCATTATTTTCGTTATTTTCTACTGGTGTAGAAGGGCTAGTGGAGTGATCTCCATAGCTGGGAGCTCTGGCTCTTTTATCTTTTTTCTACATTTTCCTGTAATTGCTAAACTCTCCATTAATATACTATTTGCTCCCTCTTTAGCTGATAGGAGGGGTTTATTCCTATCAAATACCCCAGAGAGGACTATCGGAATACTAATTGGCTAATTCAATGGAAGTACCCCACAGCCATTCAAAAACAATTTCCTAACTTTCACCTTAGGGACAACGTGAAACAGCTTGGGGGAGTAATGTCAGCAAATCACCCATTAGATGAGTATATCATAGGAAGAAAAAGAAAGGAAGCACTTAATTAGAGTCTCACATGAGCAATGCATGCTGTGCGAAGTGTGAACACTGAAAGGAAGGAAAAGGGGTATTACTGCCAGCACAAGAGCAGAAGGCATGGATGGAGAGAACAAGGCCTTGGTCATCTGTATTTCATTTTCATTTTTCAGTTCATCTTCTCTGCACTTTTCTATTGCTGGTATTGATATCACACTGATATTGGTAACAGAGGTGACAATACACACTATACATACCATTTTCTTCTTAATATATGGTACAGTTTCTATCAATGTCTTAAAACAACAATTGCACAACAAGTCTCACAAATTTAACACTATCTACGTGAACAAATAGATGCATTAGCTTCTTATCCAAGAAAATAAAATAGTTCTCAGCTATATGTACACAATATATTCTAAATTATAAAAGGATGCATTCCACATGCTTCATTCAACAGAATTAGTTCACTAAGTGCATGATATTGTCTAAAGTATACTGCAGGATAGTATTAAAGCAATGGTTTTAAGCAATCTGGATAGTATCATCAACTACCCCATGTCAACAAATAAATGTGACAATTACCTGCGCTCCCTCTCTGCAATAGTATGTTCCAGAATTTCATTATAAGCCAAGTCTGTGGTTGCAGGGGCTTTCAGATAGTCCTGCAATCATATATTCAAGCCTTAAAACAAAATTGGTAAAGTTAAGATCTTGGACACTGTATAAAATATAATGGCACCATTATTTGCAACCAAATGGGGTTTCAGTTATAGTATACCAAGGAGAATGACACACATGGTATTAAAATCTGGCAATATTATAAGATACAAATTATGTTGCAGATAGTACAATGAATTCTGTTTTCCTCTGACAGAATAAGGAATCCTAATAAGAGGAAGCTAGTGCTTTCATATTCAGCCCGTGCGTAAAAATATTTAAAAAGAGAAAATACTGCTACCAACATTTTTGCCGGATAATAAGTGTTTGTGATCTTCGTACAGAAGGTACAATAAATGCAAGAAAATAAGGAAAATGGCATTTGTTTTGCAAGTTATGGAATAAATATTGAACTTTTCCCTGGGACATATTGATAGACTGCCTGCATAATGAGTTGTAAACAAAGACAGGAATACTCATTTATTCAGAGAGTACTTTTAAAACTTTTTGTACCTGTATGCAGTAATAAAAGAAAAAGAATAAACCCCCAAGGGTAGCTCAGTTGGCAGCTGAGCTCCCAAGGGATTGCTTGGTGCAGGGATCAAACTCTGCCTCAAGCAATTTTTTGGAAAATCTTTGGGGGCCAGAGGATAAGCCAAAAAATCTTCGGTTGGGGGATTAGTCTCGTCCTTTCTCCGGTTGCGAAGCTTAGTGCACCAACTGTTACAATGAGGGGGCTAGCCCAAACGGGCCGTACCCCGAGGGCATGGTGCCCGGAGAAGGTTGAATGGGGATACCTCCTGGCAATGTACCAAAAAAAAAAAAAAAGAATAAAACAAAACAACCGCTCCCCGGTAAACCCAAACTTCCGAGGGTATGGGTGAGCGAAATCTTTTTACTCGGGCTTATCCTAGCATTTTTGCAAAAGGCTGTTTACTGGGCTCAAACTTGGGACCTTTTTGTCACAAAGGAGAAGTTTTACTACAGCTAAGCCCTCTCTGTATGCAGCATTACTCGCCATTTAAAATTGTCAATTATAAGCAACAAAATCAAGGGAAAACTTTTATCACATATAATGAAGAAGCAATTATTTTCTACCATTAATTAAGAAAGCCATACAAGGAATTCCTCGTAGACAAAACTTGAAATTTAAAAATTAAGGATGAGAGTAGCAGCTAATTAACTTTAAGAACTTCCCTTGAGAAGTGACTACCCAGATGGTTATAACAAGCGAGGAAGAGTTGTCAAGCATTTACTGAATGCTAATTTGACAATAAATGTTTAAAACTGTATTAAATACAACCGGAAACCTTAAAAGCTTGACGGGTACTAATACCCCAGGCAAAAAAAAAAGATGATTACAAGAGTAATGCCCCTTCCCACGTGTTAAACCAGCCATATAACATTCACAGAAATGTCCCTTCCCAGTTTCTGTAGTAAAATTCATATTTTACAGACTACATGTAAGAAGCTAAGGTTACTTGATCCCATTTTCTTTTCCAGCCATAGGGATTGGGGTGAACAAGAATGACTTTCTATTTTTCCACCAAACAAACAAGTTCACATTATAGCGGGGGGGAAAAAACAGTGACATGCAAAAAAAAATAAAAAATAAGACCAGGTTTTTTCTGCAACCATGTGAATTTCATTTATCCACTAAATCAAGCCTAAAAAAAACCGCAATTGGAAAGCGAAACCCGGATATACAAAAGATCGAAGGCGAAAGAGGAACGAACCCGAAGAGTTCTGGAAGGTTCATTGGTGGAAGCGAGGGACGCTGAGAGGCAGTCGGCGACGGCGCGGCGCAAGGGTTCCGGCAGCTTTTTGACGGAGGAAGATCTTAATCTGGAAACGCAGATTAACTGTGGGCGAGAGGAACTGAAGCTCGAAGACATTGGATTCGATTCGATTCGGGTTCACCGGAATCAGCAACAACAAAAAACGAATCTGGAATCGCACGAAGCAAGTTTCGAAGGTCTTCTTCTACATTTGAACAGTGTAAGAATCCGAGATTTGAAGAAGAGAAGACTAGAAGTGGTTAGTATTTGTATTGTGTTAATGCGTTTTTGGTTTGAGATTCGAGAAAGGGAAAATGAAAATTCTGAATTTTCGCGAGTGTGTTTGTATTAGCTGTACGTAGCGCCGTAGTTTTATGAACACTCGAGACTGAGCTGGCATGCGCTAACACACACTATAATTAAATCTAATTATATTACGGGGAAGGATATTATGATAATCAAATTGTGTTACTACCAAGTGATTACCAATCAATTTCATCGTTAGATTGATTATGTTGATCCAACGGTTATATTTATTTTCATCTTTGTATGGTCATGATTCCTCATATTTAATGTGAAAGTATTAAATATGGGAAATCATAAACATACAAAGGTGAAAATAAATATAAAGTATTATTACAAAAAAAAATATATATATATATATAAAGTATTAAATTTGGAGAATCATGATCATACGAAGATGGAAATAAATATAACCTTTGGATCAATATAATCGATCTAATGGTAAGATTGATTGGTAGTCACTTGGTTGTTACAATATTATATCCTTCTCCTAATATTATACATACAAAGATGAAAATAAATATAACCGTTGGATCAATATAATCGATCTAATGGTAAGATTGATTGGTAGTACTTGATAGTAACACAACTTGATTGTCACAATATCCTTCCCCTTGTATTATATGGTCAATTTCGGTAAGGGCGAAATTTCTTGTTTCTAGGGTTTTTTTATTTTATAATCTTTTTTCATGGACAAATCAGCCTTTCAATTGTAGTTGTCAATGGATATCCGAATTACTGGGATATGTTATTTTTCTTCATCGAATAACTTTATTTGATTTGGGTAGTGTTTTTAAATCAATTATTAAATTAAGATAATATTTAATATAACTAAAGTGAAAATTCACATGAAATAGCTCGGATTTTAAGCAGAAATTTATATATATTTTTTATAATTTCATATTTTGGTATATTGATCTTAATTACTTCTTTGAAGCAGCTCTCTGAGTATTTTTACAAATTTTAATTCTTTAAATCGGTTATAACCTTATAAGATTAATTATGAATCAGACTTAGTTATAGTTAAAGTTCTTCGTCCCTCTTCAAATATATATTTGATAAGAATCATTCTCTCTCCACCTACTCAATTCTAGTCGCCAACTGAGCTATACACATGTAGAGTTTTATAATTCCACATTGGATATGCATAATATTAACTTAATTTAGATAAAACTTATGTTTAATAAATGTTATTTATAATCCTCATAGTTTACTCATTATTTTAAGATATGAAACTCAAATATTTCCAAATTATTTTAGACATCATCAAAGGCACCCAAAACAATTAATGTCAATTCAACGAAACTCTCAAAAACTTGCCTTGATGTCGTCTAACTTCTAGAACAGAATTGATATATACCTCAACAAAGATACAAGTCCCGTATTCCCTGTGCTTTATCATATTATGCACCACAATGACTCAAAATTTAAGTTTTTTTTTTTTTTTTCAGTAAACTGAAAGGTATCCCCACCCTCATTCGGGGGTGAGACTAATCACAAACCGAGCACCGTAGGACCTTTGCGGGGGCGGCTCTACCCAATCCTTTTTTTCCATACTCAAAGCTCGAACTCGAGACCACTGGTTAAAGGAACACAGCCTCCGGACCAACTGTGCCAAAGGGTTTGGGTCAAAATTTAAGTTTTAGATCACACGTTTAGTGCGCAAACCATAAATTCGTGGTTCAAAATTAGCCAAATAATAGACTTCAATTTTGATAAAAGGTGATACACATTTTGAAGAAAAGGCTTATTGTTTGATCCTCTAGTATTCCATACAAATACTTTCATTAAAATTTGAGTTTCAATGACCTAGAATATTCATCTCTTTAGGTTAGGATTCAACGGTTGTTTAATCATTTGACAATTTGGATAGGACATTATGTGATCCCATTTGCAGAAAGTAGAGTCATGAATAAAACTATATATGTTTGGCTAGTATGACATAGTTTGATAAAACATGAATTGCACGCAAGATCATTGTGCTGCTCCAATCGCTCCTCCTACAGATCTTTATCACTGTCAACAATCATGACTCATGAGACCATACTCGGTTACTCTTTTATCTAGCTGCGTCCCTTCCTAGCTTAACCTAAAACTGGACATGTGCTGCTCCGAGATGAATTTTGTTCCGGGTTTGTAACTTATGGGCTTAATTAAGCATAAATGAGGCTCATATATGAGTAAAGTAAATCGACAAGTTCTTAACTTATATACGCTGATCCAAGAATGAGAGCCTGGAATATGAGTCATAAGCTATGATTTAGTCTCATGTTTTGAACATGCCACGATCTCAATAATCATCTCACTGTTAACTACCCACGATTTTTAGTGACTGTTGATTAGGCCTTATATAAGTATCATAAGCAAATTAATAGATATACAATATTCATGAGATCAACCAACGGCGGACCCACTTGGTTACAATTGTATGCACTTACAGACACAAAGTTTGGGGGGAAAAAAATCCACGGACGTGGGTGATTCAAGTCAAGTAAAAAAATAATAATATGAAGATTGAAAGGAAAAAGGTAAAGATAGGCTCAACCCAACCAACCCCTACAACTAAAAGTTTTAAGCTTAAACCCCAGTCGATTGCTTTGTCTCTGTTTTTTTTTTAACATAAACCTTTAGCTCCAAATCTTAATAGACATTAACGATTCTTGAAATTCAATCTTCATCAAGTGGAGGAGAATCTCACAGGATTTTTCATGTTTTTTTGTGAAGCAAAGTAGTCAAATTTGGATCAAATAGACATCGACAGAGGTGGGTTTTTGATCGATTAAACCCTACAATTATACTATATTTCACAAATGTCTTTTTGTGGTGTTTATTTTTTTTAATTATCATTATCGATTATTTCTTTAAAACTTTGGTTGATTCACCAAAGCTTTACTTTTGAAGTTGAAGTGAAAATTAGATCATGATCATGATTTTTTTTTTTAAATTCGGGGGCGCCACTCCCGAACCCCGACTTCTAAGTGTGTAGGTCCGCTATTGAGATCAACCCCGTAATGTTCATACAGAACAAATTCGATTCTCTTTAAAAAAAATTATATATCTATTACCAAAAAAAAACTTTGTATTATTTTCTTGAATTAATTACTATGCTCACTCAAGTACTCGTTGTTTTTTTCTTTCTTTTTTTCTGATTCGAAGAATTTAAATTCAAAGCAAATGGATTTTGATTGATTGCTCACAAACACAGAATATCAATGGACTTTCACAATATATATTTATCGGACTATTGCATTTCATATTACAATTAGGTCCAATGAATACCGTACTAAGCCTAACAACTTGGGCCCTAAAGCCGCGATGTAGTGTTTCTCTCAGTGGTGTCTCCAACGGCTTGAATCACATGAGTCAAAAACCTCTTCCGATTCTCGCCGTACACGTGTCCATCCCACCCCCTCTTCACCAAATCAACGGCTAAAGCCACGGCAGCCTCAACTGTCTCCTCGGCGGTGTCATGAGCCGAGTCGATGACGCCGAGCCGCAACGCCTCGTTAGCCGTTAGCTTCGCCGCCTTCATAACAATTTCGCGCCTCGCCGCCGGCGAGCCGACCTTGGCGTCGACGATGGCGACGAACCAAGCCGGCACGACGAGCTTGATGTCGAGCTCGCTCATGTAGAGAAATCCCCTGTCGCTCCTCATCAACACGTAATCGTGGCTGAGGGCGAGGGCGTATCCTGCGGCGGATGCGTGGCCGGTGACGGCGGCGAGGGTGGGCATGGGGAGGGAGAGGAGATCGGAGACTACGGAGCGAAGCAGGGAATCCATGAGGATCATGCGGTCTTCGCGGGATTGGGCCCAGGTGAGGTCGAAGCCGTTGGAGAAGTATTTGCCGTGGGCGGTGGTGATGAGGGCGGAGGAGGTGGTGGCTTCATGGCGGATACGGCGGAGGGCAGATTGGATGGAATTGAGGAGTGTGGGGTTAAGGCGATGCTCGCCGTCGCCGGTGAGTGATAGGATGAAAATGTTGCCTCTCTTCTCCAAGGTGCACATGTTTGCTTGCTTGGTGTTTCTTTCACCTACTCCACTTTCTACTTCCTAGAAAGCTAGTCATTGTAGTTCACGTTTGACTTTGTATAAATGAATCAAACATAATATAAAACAAGTGAAGGGATAAATCTTGGGTTTATCATCTATCATTTAACATGATCACAAAAATTTTTCTACACACACAACATTTTGTGGGGCCCGCAGCAAAAAAAAAAAAAACTTTGGCACGCAAAACGAATCTCTATAACATAACACAATCACTTTTCCTATAACATAACTCTTATAAAACCCATTAATGTTATACTGGATAAAATTATCTTTATATATATATATATATATATATATATATATATGTGTGAAAAAATATTTGTCATTTTAATTGACATAAAGTTATGTCATTTTAAGAGAGATAGACACATAATAATTTTTTTATTTAAATTTAAATTTAAAAAAGAATCAATCACTTTCTCTCCCATCATTTTCATTCCTTGTAGTTGTATCTATCTTTCTTAAAATGACATAACTTGTGTGATTTAAGAGCTCGTTTGGTGGACAGGATAGGATAAGGGTAGGATATGATATGGAGCTGATAAGAGTACGATATGATAAGGGCTAATAAGCCTATATCATATCTTGTGTTTGATGACTACCTGATTAGCAATCGGATAAGATTATGTAGAAGGAGAAAGACAAAAACAAAAAATAATGTAATAAATACAAATATATTGGGTAGCGTGGGGATATATTGGGTAGCGTGGGAATATATTGGGTATCCAATATTGGTATCATATCATGTTGAATCATAACTCAGCTCCCCCCATATGATAAGAAATCATGTATTGGATAAGATAAAATGAGACAATAGAATAAACTAATCATATCCTATTGACCCACCAAACAATAGATAAAAATAAGATATGATAAGTTATCCTATCCTATATTCTTTATCAGGTGCTCCAAATAGGCCCTAAAATGACAAACATAAAACACACACAGACACATATATATATATATATATATGGGGCAGGATATACTTATCACCAAAAAAATTTACCACATTTACAACCAATCTAATCTCCGTTGATTTCCGTCAATCTAACAGTTATAATTTATTGAAAATTATTGGGTCACATTTATTAAATAATTATTAATTTCTAATGAATACAATAAATTATAACCATTAGATTGACGGAAATCAACGGAGATTAGGTTAATTGTAAATGTGGTAAAAAAATTTGATGGTAAATATATCATTCCTATATATATATATATATATATATATATATATATATATATATATATATATAGAAGTGTATGAGTCTTATGGAGAAAGAATTAATTTACACTTATATAAGAAATAATAAAATTTTACAACTAATTTTATATATCTGATTATTGCAATTTATTTCTTTTCTTTTTTCAATATTTATAAAAAATAAATATTATAAAACGAATCTCTATAACATAACACAATCACTTTTCCTATAACATAACTCTTATAAAACCCATTAATGTTATTCTGGATAAAATTATCTTTATATATATGTGAAAAAATATTTGTCATTTTAATTGACATAAAGTTATGTCATTTTAAGAGAGATAGACACATAATAATTTTTTTATTTAAATTTAAATTTAAAAAAGAATCAATCACTTTCTCTCCCATCATTTTCATTCCTTGTAGTTGTATCTATCTTTCTTAAAATGACATAACTTGTGTGATTTAAGGGCTCGTTTGGTGGACAGGATAGGATAAGGGTAGGATATGATATGGAGCTGATAAGAGTACGATATGATAAGGGCTAATAAGCCTATATCATATCTTGTGTTTGATGACTACCTGATTAGCAATCGGATAAGATTATGTAGAAGGAGAAAGACAAAAACAAAAAATAATGTAATAAATACAAATATATTGGGTAGCGTGGGGATATATTGGGTAGCGTGGGAATATATTGGGTATCCAATATTGGTATCATATCATGTTGAATCATAACTCAGCTCCCCCCATAGGATAAGAAATCATGTATTGGATAAGATAAAATGAGACAATAGAATAAACTAATCATATCCTATTGACCCACCAAACAATAGATAAAAGTAAGATATGATAAGTTATCCTATCCTATATTCTTTATCAGGTGCTCCAAATAGGCCCTAGAATGACAAACATAAAACACACACAGACACACATATATATATATATATATATATGGGGCAGGATATACTTATCACCAAAAAAATTTACCACATTTACAACCAATCTAATCTCCGTTGATTTCCGTCAATCTAACAGTTATAATTTATTGAAAATTATTGGGTCACATTTATTAAGTAATTATTAATTTCTAATGAATACAATAAATTATAACCATTAGATTGACGGAAATCAACGGAGATTAGGTTAATTGTAATGTGGTAAAAAATTTTGATGGTAAATATATCATTCCCCTATATATATATATATATATATAGAAGTGTATGAGTCTTATGGAGAAAGAATTAATTTACAGTTATATAAGAAATAATAAAATTTTACAACTAATTTTATATATCTGATTATTGCAATTTATTTCTTTTCTTTTTTCAATATTTATAAAAAATAAATATTTAAGTTTTACATTATGAGTAAAATTTTAAGATGAAAAAATGCATTGATTTTCCTTCTCAAAAAAGTTTAGTTGGTTTATGATATTGGTTAAGAGTTTATTTGATTGCGCGATTTACAATTCAATGGTCGTTGTTTAGTTTTATTATTCTTATTTGAGTAAACTTGCTCATGAGTATTTATAAGCAACTCACATAATTATAGAATTTATATTATAAAATTAGAAGATGTTATATTTACAATTTTTTTGTTTATAAATTCTTACAAACTAAACTAAGTATGATCGGTCATATTATATTTCAACTAAGAGCGTATGACCAGTCATACTTAGTGTAGTTTATAAAAAAAGTTTATAAATTAATCATTCCCCATAAAATTAGATTATTTTTCATTTAAAATAACTTATTACACGGAAATGTTTTTTTCTCGTAAAAATTATATAATCTAAATATGCTATAATTGCACATAATTTCATCAATTATACTTTAATTTAATCATATCTCTTAAATGTAATTCCGAATATTATATCTCTTAAATGTAATTCCGAATATTTAATGGAAATAATGCATATTTAGATTAACTTATTTAGAATGTAAAAGAATTCAACTATTTATATATATTTTTTGGGAAATGTTTTAACAAAAATAATAATTTTGCCAAACATGTTAGGGATATGATATTGTAACAACCAATGTTACTACTAATGTTACTATCAATCAATTTCACTGTTATATCGATTATGTTAATCCAACGGTTACATTTATTTTCATCTTTGTATGGTTATGATTCTCCCTATTTAATGTTTTCTCCCCATATTTAATGTGAAAGCATTAAATATGGAAAATCATAACCATACAAAGGTAAAAATAATATAAAGTATTAAATATGAGAAATCATAACTATACAAAGATGAAAATAAATATAACTGTTGGATCAATATAATCGATCTAACGGTAAAATTGATTGGTAATAACATTAATAGTAACACTAATTAATTGTTACAGTATCATTTTCCTGTTATTAATCAATTACGCAGCAAATAACTTAGAAGATACACACCTAATTTCAAATACGAGATGTAAGGTTTTGCAAGGTCTCAGGGAACAAATTTACTTTCACTTTAAGTACTATTAGATAAACATTTAATATTTTCTGATCCTTCTATGAAATTCTTATGTATCATTTCTTACCTATAAAGATAAAAATAATAACTAATCTATATATTTACATGTATTAAACAGTATAACGTAAAATCAACGACGAAACAATCAAACCAGACGGGCCGATTCACCCAAAAACTAATAAACAGGACAGACATTTAGTCTATTTAATTAAAAAAAATCAGATGATCAAATAATAAGTCAAACTGATTAAAATCGACAGAGAACTAGTGAAAGATTTCGTTAGTTAAATAAAAGTTTGATGTTAAGTTACAAAGTCTTAAGCATAAGGTTCAAATATGAATTGTTATTATTTAGTCACTTATTATTATTTTTTAATTTTACAAGTTATATAATTTGAATATCTTATTCTAATTTAAAATTTTAAGTAACTTAATTTCTTATGATTTCAAGTTAAATTATTACTTAATATATAATATAAAGGAAAATTATATTGACAATTTTTTTTTTATAAATTTACAAAATACATTATGTCTTGCCGGTAAGATATTATATCTTACCGATAACATTTCATTCAAAAGTGTCTTACCGGTGGTAAGACATAATGTAATTTGTAAAAATTTATAAACAGTCCCTATTATATAATATCAAAAAATACACTTTTACTAACCTGAAACATTGATTGGGAACCATTGATTTCACTAGTTCAATAACTTAAAACATTGATAAAACACATATTATACTCAGTGGCGGAGCCATGTTATACTTGGGTGTAACCTGGGTTTGGGCTAAATTTTAACAAATTGTACTTATTATGTACAATTATATAATTAATTATAATTTGACTCAGTCTAAAATTATAATTTGGCCCTATCAAAAAATTAAAATATATTTAGTGAGAGATTTGAGTAAGTTATATTAAGTTATGTGTTACATTTCTATTTATACAAAAAAATTAAAATATATTCAATAAAATTAAAAAATATTTAATAAAATCATAATTCTTTTTGATACTTCCTACTCAAGTGTTTTGTATTTAATATAATTTAAATAAATTATGATATGAACTAACTAAAATTAAAAAATATATATATACATATAATTTTTTGGGCCAGACTCCTGTTAGAACCTGGCTCCGCCACTGATTATACTCCTTCAGTTTTGCCTATTTTGACTTACAAAACTTGTTTTACGGTTAAATAATGCGTTAGATTTAACAAGGAAACATGACAGTCACATGCAGTAATAATATGTTGAAAATTTACATACTAAGCATGAAAATTGGCAGTTGTTATGCAACGCTATCAGTCTCAAGTATTATATTGTGATGAGAAACGTTTTTTTTTCCTTTTTCTTTCTATTAAAAAAAATTATTTTCCTGTTTGTGGAAAGTTTTATATTGAAACATATTTTATGTCATTGTATCACTATTCATATTTTATTATTAAATTTCATCTTGAACCAACAGTAATTGAAAATGAAAGAAAGATCCATTCTACCCCAAGTTTTTTCAACTTGGCCCATGTAGTTTCCAGCCTCAAGCGATGCAGAAGGGAAGGAAATCCAGTTCATTGGTAGCGCATTCCATGCATCGAAATTTGCCAAAGAAAATTATCATGTGACTTAGACGTTTGTACAGAAAAACCAATGTACATAAAATTTATTACTAAAGCCAAAGAAAAGAAACATAAGATGAACTACAAATGCTAAAATTATATGATTGTAGTTAATTACTAATTGCTACTACCTAAACCAAATTTAAAGGGTAAACCAAGTTGAGATGGTTTATAAAGGGAAGGCATTAAAAGGCACATAGCACAAATAGTGCTTCTTACCAACCCATCAATGTTCTTCTAACTTTGTCCACAATCTGACTTCTTGCTTGGCTGCTACTCAAAGGAAATTCACGGCTTTCATCCAACAAAAACCTGTACACTTCCCACTGGCGTTCTTGTGTTGAATGCCTAACAACTTCAGCCTATAGTAAGATAAAAAAGTGTGTGTAAGAGAGAAAGAGATTTCATTTAGTAACTGTTACAAGATTTCTTCAAAGAACATCCAAATTTCCACAATAAGCTTTAACTTCAAAAAAATTACCGAGAAAATGAAAACTCCCAACGCTTTTAAAGCCAATGTAACATCATAGAATACACGGGGTCTTCCCTTTCCACACAGCTCTACAGGATTAGCAACAAGTAGTTCTGTATCTGGACCACGGTTCACTATAATCACCCGCAATGGATGAAGCATCTCTTCTTTTAAGCAAGAACACAAAGTTTTCTGACTTTCAGGATCTATGATCTTTTCCCCATCTATTTGCTTAACAAATAATTCAATATTTCGAAAGCCTTTCACACTTGAAGAGAATCGACCATAAGCAACCTAATTGAGAAAGGCATGACGGTTATCAATGAACTAATAGCAAAGAAAATTTTATTTAACTAAACATATGGTAAGATATTGCATATGGAAAATGAATACAAGAATGATTGAGCAGAATAAAATCACATAAAAATTGCACAAAGAATGTTGAACAAATGATAACTCGGTACAGAATACCTTAATATCAGAGTCCTTAGAAATCCTCATAATGTCATAACACAAGCCCTTCTGGTCAACACACTGTATCTGAAGCAAGGAATGAGCTGGGCTCATTGAATTATCCATCATAACAGTTGGCTTCTTCAGTGTTGTCATATCTTGGCTGAGAGGATGCACAGACACCTTGTCTAACAGCTCAGAACTAAATAATTCTTCAGCAAAAGCTGGTGGAAGAGAAGAAAAGCCCTGCAAATGTCCATATTCAGGCCCAGCCAACTGAAGTTCACTGGAGATGCACCTCTCTCCTAAAGCATCCATCAGATATTCACATACATAATCTTGCCTCTTTTTTGTGTGCAACAATTCCCTGTTTTTATTCAACAACAAAAAAAAAAAAAAATGACGCATCGTTAGCATGAGCTACCAAAGCAACAATTTTATAATTAAAGACTATCATAACAAGAATTGAGGTGAAACATGAAATAACAGATCAGATGCAACAATTAAGAGCAAAACAATGAGTCAATGACAATTCACATGACACAAATAAATTTTGCGACGATGTAATTGGCTTTTCTGGCAATAAAAAATCCAACTTCAATCAACACCTTCTGTTTGAGTATATTTTATAATCATGAAGAGCAGAAAACAGGTAATAACTAAAATGAACAAAAACTTAAAGCTGATCTTGCGCTGGGTTGTCTTAAGATATTATTGTGCACATTTTGAGATAAGAGAGAGTGAATGCTAACCATTAACACGAGCTCAGATGGTCACACCTAAGCTACTAGAACTGTTAAGTGTATATGTCTTCTTTTTTCCCCTTTCATTTTGTGTTAGCAAGTGCTTTAAGTTCTCTGCCTAAAATTACACTCTGGTTCTTCTCTAAGTTTTGCATAAGTTTGAATCTAGTGCTTCTAGTCCCAACTGCAGCAATGTTCGTTTGTCAAAGACTGAAGAGGATAGTTTGAAATTTTAAACAAATTTCTTAAGCTTAATGAGCAACTTCCGACCCTACCGAGCTCCTGGCAAGCTGAGTCCAAATCCTATCAACGAATAGAATTTCTATTAATAGTTTTAGTCTAGCTCAGCTCATTAAAATTGAGCATAGATATCAATAATTTCTGGGTTTTCAAGCAACTCTGTCCTTAATCAATCCTTAATCAAGTGCAGCAACAATATTAGGCCAATATTATTCTATTCCATTAGCATCATATTCTTGCTATAAGTGATTCAATCCTAGGTTTCAAATAGCAGTCTTATCTTCACTTCATTCAGTGATCGATTCCATTTCCCACATCCCTTGATTATCACATACCCGATGACATTGCAAAGAGAGAGATAAATGAAAAACAAATTTGGCTAATCTGTCGTGCAAACAAGAAGATTACTACATGTCCAATGGCTAATCTTTAGAAGCCATACATATTTTAGCTTATAAAGAAGATAAAGAGGAACTAATGCCCAATAGGAATATTATTACAAATTCTGATACCAATTTGACTTTCTTTTATATATATATATATATATATATATATATATATATATATATATATATATATATATATATATATATATATATATATATATATATATATATATATATAGTATACTTTGACACCGTGTCAAATTTCGAAATATGATACCAAATCCTAATAATTAATTTCCGCCAATCAACGGTTATCACTTAAAGGGAATCAAATTTAGGGATAGTATACTTTGACACCATGTCAAATTTCGAAATATGATACCAAATCCTAATAGTTAATTTCCGAGAATCAACGGTTATCACTTGAAGGGAATCAAATTTGGATGGGGTAAGAAAGAGCATCCAGCAGATGCAGGATATAAACTAAATCATATGAGTAAGAATCTTATACTAACATTCCATCGGTGATAAAGAACAGGTCCAAGGCCCTGCCATCTGGGGTTGGCATCACTTTGACTCTCTGAATAATAAGTTGAAGGTTGCAGAGGATTTCATTAATATCTACATGGATGGGAAAAAGAAAGTGTCAAAAAATACATTCCATGTGTGCAGGAAAAGAGAGAAGAGAAATAGTTACCATGTAGTAATCCTTTTTGGTCAATAATCCAAACCTTCAATAGGTAAATTGGAGGCGGTGAAGGACTAGTAGACTGTTGATTGAAGTGATAGGAAAATAAAAAGGAAGGGCAAGCTGAGAGGAGCCTAGTCTTCAAGCTTTCCCAATCAACTTTGAGAGATGAAGGATGTGGAACAACCCAATACACGATGTAGCACCATCTTCCATCCGTTGAAATATCTACATCACCGTCCAATCCAAACATGAAAACAGGTAAAACAACATGTAACTCCAAACAGGAACCCACATAAAAAATGAATAAACTGAACATGAAACTATCCACAAAGGGACACTGTTTTGTGCAAAAAAAAAAAGGAACATCAAAAAACAAAATTTCCAAGTAAAATATGCAAAAAAAAAGAAAAAAAAGAGAGAACTCAAGGGAGATGAATAAAGATTTGATTTTTTTTTTCGAAAAGAAGAAACCCAGATGGGAAATGTGAGATACCAGCTCTGGTAATGCGAAGACCGAACTCGAGGATGATTCGGCAAAGATCACAACCGAGACCAGCCTTGTCGGGGCAATTGACCGTGACGACGCAAGGCTCATCGGGGTCTCTCCCCTGTCGGATCACAACGACGTCGTCCCATAGCATACCCATGACTAAGAAGTGGTGGGTTCAGGGGAGAATGACCGCCGGAAAAAGCATCGCCGGAGCTCGCAATGGTGGCTCCGGCGAATGGAGTTTATATATGAAAACGTGAGTTGCATACAGATCACGAAAGAACGGAATTGATAAATAATAAATGAAACGGTTTTTTTTTCTTGTTATAATAAAATTTATGATGTTCGTGAAAAAATGAGTTAGTTTGTTCCATTTTATTTTTGAAAATGGACCGTAAAAGTCAGCTCGTATCGTTTCCTTTGACGAGTTGGATAGGTTGGTATGTGAGTGCGAATTTATTTTAATTCATCTATATCCGTCATCAACTTATCAAAAAATGAATCCTCCCCTTTTCACTTTTGAGATGAGTTGAAAAATTCTGCTCACCCGATCTAATTTAATAGATTGAACGAATTGACCCGCAGAACCGAACTCGTTTTGCCGGCTCCGATTGGTATTCTCTTTTTGGTAGATAATAACTTTCTTTGGAGACAATGTTCATTTTTTTTTTTCAAGTATAGCAATGTTCATTTAATGTTTGTTTAAGTTGAAAAACTCCTCTCTCTTTTTTGATAAACAAAACTCCTTTTAATTTATTCTAAATTTACTTTCTTTTCTTTTCAGATTTTTTAAAAACAATATAAATAAAATTTGAAATTGCATAAATTATCTATTTTGTTACATAAACAGTAAAAGAAGTATTAGATCCAACAGTAAATGAAAAATTTGCAGATTTGTGCGGGCTTGAAATTTTTGAAATTAGAAAAAAATAATAAAATTATATATTATGACTAATAATATTTTTCATATATTCTCATTTATAAATCACAATTTAATGAATTTGGATAGAAAAAAATCACTTGTAAGTAATAATAAGAAAAATGAGAGTTAACAAAAGAGATATTAACCTTCATTTTTTTAGCTTGAATATATCAAATTCGTCATTTAATATGAATTTATGTGTTAGTATCAAATTAATCTTTAAAAGGTGGATAATGTTAACATTAATTGTCATTGAAAATTGTCTTAATTACTATTGATAAAAAATAATACGATGTGAGGATGTTTAAAAATGAATTGGTGGAAAAATCTTTTTTTTTAATGTTATTAAATGAATTCTTAAAATGCTATAAATTAAAATTTGAAACTAATATAGTTAATAACATAAACTATTATTACAGATTAATTTAAGAGAAATACTTTTCTTATGTTGTAGGAAAGTAGTTATCTCATGTTGTATAAATAAAGTTTTAAATGGGACTCAAATGTAAGAGGAGAGAAAAAAATAGTGATGAGACCACATCTCTTTTATGTGTGTAAAAAAATTATTTATCTCATGTAAAATGAAATAAATATAACCCGATTAATAAATGAAAAATTAATATTATTTATTTATTTATTTTTCGAATGGAAAATTAAGAAAAGGAGATGATGCTTAGCAGCCGCACAAGATTGAAACCAAAACTAAATATAAAAAAAAAAAAAAAAAAAAACATATGCAAATACTCTAGTACATTTATTGACTTATGTTTGGTAGACATTTCTATTGGTGGATAGTGATGATTTGGAAGTACAGTTGATGTGTTGCGTAAAGTGGGCCCTGAGTGGAGGTTTCTCGTGTCGTGTGAGTCATGTCCATGTCAATATGTCTGGCCACATTTTCATTGATGAATTGACAAGGTTGATGTGAGCCTTTCATTGAACCACTTGTGGACCCGGTCTTCCATCCACGACTAGACGTTAATATATAATACTATTTTTAAATTGGATTTAATATTTCTTTGTAAGAGATAAATTAATGCATATAAAAGTAGGATAATATTTTTCTTATGTTGTATAAGAGGGTGCAGCTCAGTTGATAATTTGGCGCTGAGTTAGTGGGGTTGAATATGTGTTCGATTCCCGCTGAATGCATTCTTGGGGAGGGGGCTGAACCTTTAGTCATCACTGTTCTCCCGCACTCCGGATTAGTCTCATAGCCGGCTCAAAGAGTCGAAACTCGTGGGGATACCGGAGGGAGCCAACTCGTCTCAAAGAGATAATTAGGGTTGGGTAACTCCAAAAAAAAAAAAAGAGAAGTACTATCTCATGCTCAAACAAAAAGTAGGAGAGAAAAAAAAAGTTAAAAGTCAGAGAAAAAAAATCTTGTGGGACCCATTTGAGAAATATGAGTGTAGAAGATAATATTTTGTTTATGTAACATGAGAAAAGTAATTCCCATAAAAGTACATACAGGTCATACGATCAAATGAAGAGAAGAAAAATAAAGAAAAAATATAAACTTTACATATTTTTATATGTATATAAAAAATAAATTTATTTTTATAATATAAGAAAAAATAAACCCTATAAATTATACATGTGTGGGTGAATAATAATATTATTTTATAGATTATGTACTTGAGTTTGTAAATTGAGATTAATAGTTTTTATATTATAGAAAATGATTTTATCTTTTAAAAAAATATGTAGGATCTATATTATTTTTTCTTTTCTTTTCTTTACATGGTCTCACATCAGTCTTATACACTTTTATATATATATATATATAAGAGAAAAAATATCTATTATAATACGAGAAACAATAATTGCTTAAAATAAATAATGAAAAATAAATGGTACTACAGTATTGTACCTTCACGTCTATGGTCTGTGATCGATGCTTGTGCAGATTTTTTCGGCTATCATAGTTGGTAGAGGCAATCAATATCATCCCATTTTTAATTTTGGAGCGTGGGTTCGAATCGTTTTGTGCAAGCTAAAGCACTTCAAAAATAAATAAATAAATAAATATATAAATATATATATATATATATATATATATGGGTAATAGTTTTCTCATGTAGTAGGAGATAAATATTATCTCCTACAGACTCATATGTGCAGGTGGGGTCCACTTTCAGGAGGAGAGAGAAAAAGAATAAAGTGGGACCCATCTTGAATTTGTGTGTGTAGGAGATAAATTTTACCTTATGTGACATAAGAATAATAAATACCTATATATATATATATATATATATATATATATATATATATATATCAGCTAAAGAGTGTTAGATAAAATCTTGTTAAAACAGGCATTGGTTGCTGGTTGGTTGATTAAATATCCCGTCCTTATTTTATTAAAAAATTATTATTTTACCTTTTTCTTTAACTTATAAATTTATTCTTTTTATTAAATTATATATTAGTCTGTGTTTATTTGACCAAAATTCGACCTATATTCATTCAAGTAAATTAGTCATTTATTCGAATAAATAACTTATCAAGGATTTGATTAAATTTTAATTAAATAAGAACATGTTGATATGTAGTTTAAAAAAAGACATATACGGAAATATAATTTGTGAAAGGGAAAAAAGTTTCTGATGTTACTTTAGACAACTTTGTCTAATGTTCATCCAAACGACGTCGTTTTGAGGTTAAAAAATTTAAAAATTAGAATGAAAAAGACTATTATTGTCCTGACATAAATTAAAATTACAAAAACACCATGATTTCTGTCCCAAAACAACGTCGTTTCGATGAAAATTAGATAAAATTATCTAAAGTAACTTTAGAAAAAACAAACCCTTTTGTAAAAATGGATAAAGTAATAAATTAACTTTAAAAATGGACAAAATGCCCAATCAATCATCGTTCATTGCTTGGAATGAGCATAATATTTTTGAGACATCCAAACAAAAACAGAAATAATTGGGAAACCAAGCAACAATAATGATAATAAGAAAACTACTCCCTCAATATCTTTATCATTGACCTTCACTTCATATTTTATTTTGCATCCTTAACTTTTAAGCTAGTTAATACCAAACGTAACGCTAATATTAAAATGGATTTATTTTGCTTTTTTAGATTTTTAAAGATGCTTAACTGATGGATAATCAATGGAAGAGGTTTATTTTTACTTTTAAATCTAGAGAACTATAAATACAACGTTCAGTATCCAAAAGAAGAAGAAGAGAGAACTATAAATATTTTTTAAAAAGAGTAATTGATGTTCGAAATATTATATGATAATCTTTCGTTTTAAATACTTACAAATAAGAATAATTTTTATTTAAAATGAAAAGTTCTCTTTGCTTTTTTCTCACTATTAATCTCATTCATCCAAACTCTGACGACTGACAACTTGCAAGGATCAACGACTCTTCCTACATACTAACACGAGACTTTTCAGCGTCTTTTGTCTTCACTCACACACTTCTCGGGAAAACTTTTCAGGAGGTCACCCATCCCAGAATTGCTCCAAGTCAAACACGCTTAACTATGGAGTTCTTCCGACCCGGGCTATCGAAAAGTAGATGCATCTTATTAGTATAGGTAGTACCAATTAATTCTTATAAGTTATTCCTAACTGTGCCATCCCATACCAGCACAGTCTCTGAAATCTCTCTCTTTCAGGTGTTGATTCGATTCATTCATGTACCCTCGTCGCTGGAAGGCTGCCAGGAGCCGCTCCTTGTTCATGCCATTTCGCACCAGCGATCACTCCCCACCCTCGTCAGCGCCCAAGATGTTACACAAACATACACACACAATATATATATATATATATATATATATATATAGTTAAATATACCCTTCCCTTAATACTAAATAAGTCTTAAAATAAATAAATGTATTGATACAAAAACAAGAAGAATTTCAATAGTTCCAAATTATCATTAATTCAGTAGTCTGGATCAATTAAAATCTTATAACTAATGAACAGAAAGAAAAGAGAAGAAATAAAAAATAATTTTTTATCCAAATATCATCCCCTAAATAGAAGGATCATAAAAAATCTAGAGCACCAAAATTTTTTCCATACAAAAACAGAGAAAATATTTGTGTATGTGTATAATGTTAACTATATAACATTGCTTAAAATTGAGTGACACGGTAGCCCTGCAACTAGTTTATTGCGATGTGACACAAAGCAAAAATTAAAGCTTATATACAATTTAGCAGCTATTCCAACTTGTGTTCTCGTATTGTTCTATTCACATAAGAAATCTAGATAATAATGAAAATAATTGACAAGATACAATTGCGCACGATGTAATTTATAGTGCACTTTGAATAATGTCATTTGGGTGTTATCGCTAGACAAAACAAAACTGATGCAATCATTAGGATTACTAAATAACGATACACACCAACTTGTCGAGTTAAAGAAACAATTTGATTGCAAAAAGA